CTTCAATCTTGCCATTCCTAATCCAGGGTGTCAACCCACTTCTGGTTACTTAGCCAGGTTCTTTCTTTCTTTTTTTTTTTAATTATTTCAGGACAGTGAAAGCCTGCCTAGATCTCCTGGTCAGCTGGCTGCACACCTACATCGACAACCAGGGCACGGGGTCCCGAGCATTTTGCGACGTTGCGCTCCATGGTCCGTTCTACTCAGCCTGCCAGGCTGTGTTCTACATAGTCATCTTTCGCCACAAGCAGATCCTGGATGGAAACCTCAAGAAAGGTGAGCAGGAATTTGCCAGAATAGGAGAAGAGGAGGGCAGAAAATCTCTGTTTCTGGCCTAGATGTCAGAGAAGGACAGACAGAGCCTGCGGGTGGAGTCAAGAGAGGAATCAGCTTAGAGTCATTACATTCCCACAAACCGTCCACTTTTTTCAGTGCTGGTTCAAACTTTTTCAGTGCTTTTGTAACTTCGAAAAGTCATTAAACAAATGATTGTAAATCAAGGACTACCTGCATGCACTGTTCACATTGATCCACTAAGGATCTGCTAAGCCATGTTTCCCAGAGAATAGTGTCTTTTAGAAACCTCTGCAACGTCAGAATAATTTAGATGTGTTCCTCTTAGAATTAAATTTTGTAAAATGTAGCACTGCATAGAAAGCTCAGACTCAATGTAGTGAATTCCTCTGGTCTTCTGTTTACAAGGTTTGGCCTACCTACAAAGTTTAAACTTTGAGCGCATTGTTCTGTGTCAGCTAAATCCCCTGAAGGTCTGCCTGCCAACCATTGTGAGTCTCTTTGCGGCCCTTACCAGGTACAATTGTTTTCTCTCTTGCAAAGTGTATTTATTAAATGTACTTACATCAACAATCTCTAAAATTTGGAGAGCGTTAATAGAGGGACTCTGTCCATTTATTGCATGCATATAGAAATGGGGTGATCGTGGGAACGCATTTTTTTCCTTCTTTCTTCTGTGTTTTAAATCAGTCTCAGGCAGGAGTGTCCAGCCTTGGCAACTTTAAGACCTGTGGACTTCAACTCCCAGAATTCTCCATCCAGCCATGGAGATTTCTGGGAGTTTGAAGTCCACAAATCTTAAAAGTTGCCAAGGTTGAACATCCTTGGTCTAAGGCACTTCTTGAATGCAAAAATGTAGAGATATCTCTTCTGCTGCTCCTGCTTTTGCTCAAACAGAGAAAGGATTTGATGCATCCAGAAATTACCCTGTTGAAACAAACGGGGGGGGGGGGGTAGGGGAGATGATCCAGATCTTGGGCCTACTCCAGTGATGGCGAACCTTTTAGAGACCGAGTGCCCAAACTGCAACCCAAAACCCACTTGTGCCTCGTCGGGTGTGGCCCATTGGCTGGGTATGGCTCATTGGCTGGATGTGGCCTATTGGGTGGGCGTGGCTACGGTGGTAACGGCAGACTGGGTGGGACTAAAAAGTTCAATCGATCAATTCCAACTTTGCAAGATCTTTTTTTTTCCCCATGAGAAGTTGAAATTGACTGATTGAACCTTTTGTGGGTTTTTTTTTTGCACACAGCAGCAGAGGCCTAAAGTGAAAAGGTTTTATAAAACCCAGCTGAAGGCCTAGGACTGGGGCGACGGCGCGCGTGCCCACAGAGAGGGCTCTGAGTGCCGCCTCTGGCACCCGTGCCATAGATTCGCCACCACTGGCCTACTCCATTTCCACGTTCCTAGCCCAGCCCGTGGAAGGATAGCAACCTCATATTTCCTTCTCTGAACCTGGAGGAAGGGGAAGATACTTGTTTGAGATGGAAAAACGTTTCTCTTTCATGGCAGAAATTCCACCCTTGTTTCACTGACATCCTGGGGTTCTTTTCCCAAGCATTTCAGACCTTGTTATCAACAAAAGGAGGAAAGCTAAGGAAAGAGAAAATAGTAGCTAATGATATGGTCTCTTTACTAACCCCGAAGAAGGCAGCTAATATTGGAATGAGGAAAGAGAAGCTGCCAGGGCGCCAAGGGACAAGAGGTGTCCATACCTTGCCTTCAGAAGCTCTTCTGTGAAATGGGTTGATGGCTGGTTTGTGAATTTTTAAAAAAAACAACAACTCAGTTTTTCTCCTTTCCTCTTCCTCCTCCTTCTAGGAAGTACCAGGTGGCCTTCTGTGACACCATCATTGAGAGAAACCGGCGACAAGTCCTACCAGTTGTCCGAAGCAGCTGTGGAGGAGAGTCTGTTGAGACAGTCACAAACCCCCTTGACAGTTTTTTCCCGTTCGATCCTTACATCCTTAAAAGGTACCTTGTTGAGAAGCGGGTAACCCTCAGCTGAAAGATGCCTTTTTGTTGTTGTTGTTCTTCTTTTCAATTCCGGCGGGCAAGCTGTAATATTTTTCCCTGTGTGTCTCATTTCCTGCCCTCCAGACACACCGGATATTCACTGTCAGCAGTCATAGCCAATGGCTCTGCTGGCTAGGGATCGTGGGAATTGAAGTCCATCATGTCTGGAAAGGGTCAGGTAGTGAAATGCTGATCTATCAACTTTGAAAAGTTCAAGACGACTCAATTTTGCCCACGTGACATACGTAAAAAAGGGATCGTGCTTTATCGGTTGTGTAAGGTTATAAGAAGAGCAAAAATGACAGGCGGTGGTGACCTCTGAATGTTTATACAAAAAAAATATTTAGCAATGCTTTATTATATTTTGAAATATACAGCCCATCTCCTAACTCAGTGGTTCTTAACCTTTTTGAGCAAATCGCCCCCTTGAGCCAATGAGGAAGTTGTCATCGCCCCCCTCCCCCAACATAACCTCTCAATCACAACATAGGAAATAATTCTTCCATTTACGCAAACACTTTTTTGTTTTGTTTTCTTTAAAATTGTCATCAGGACCTATCGATGCAAATCATTTATTTCCAGTCTTTTCCCCATATCGCCCATATTCTGGCCAATGGCGTTCCTCTGTATGGGTAGAGGCTGCTGCGCAACACGCATGAAGATAAGCGATGCGTATTCTCATATGTACGGCGTTCTGTACTGAAGCTAGCTGGAGGAACATTTGAAAACACAATCCGCTAATAGCGAGCGATCTGATGTTTTTGTACGACAGGTATACAGCGATTCACTGTACGAAAAAGGTCTCAAAAGTGTCCCCAAAACCTCTCGCTCCATCGCCCCCATTTCGCCCCCTTTTTGTTCTTTTGCCCCCACGTTGCCCCTTTTCGTTCCATCGCCCCCTTGAAAAATGAAATCGCCCCCTGGGGGGCAATATCGCCCAGGTTAAGAACCACTGTCCTAACTGACCGTCGAGGTTGCTGTATTTTTGCGCCAGCTGAGACCCCTAATCGAGAGCCAACCTTGAAAGACCATTTCTCCTTATAAGTTGTGTATTTTCAACTCTACCGTTCCTGTTAAGCAACAGCCCGTGTTTGTCTTTCCCTCTTCAGCCCTCTTCCTTATCCCCTCTTTCTCGTGTGCGTTACAGATCAAAGAACACAATCAATCCTTTGTATCAGTTTTGGGAAGAGCAGAGTGCCGAGGACCTCAAAGAGACGACAGAACCCATCAGTGAGGTGAGCAGTTTCATTCAAGCTCCATCCGCACGTTTCCTTGTGAAGGATGCTGGAGCTGGGAAGTTTGCCAATTCCGGCATATCGGAAGGAGGTCATCTTAGATCAGTTGAAGGAGGTCATCTTAGATCAGCAGCGAGGAACCTGCAAGTTCCAGACGTTGTGTGAACGCCAGCATCTCACCATCCTTCAACACTGGCCGTACCAGCAACCACCCCACAAATCCAGGAGAGAGAAAAATAGTGACAAACAAATTGGAAAGTGGTTGTGTTTTCTTCCTTTAAAGCAGCGTTTCCAACCCTTGGCCATTTTTGAAGATGTGTGGACTTGAACGCCCAGAATTCTGGAAGTTGAAAGTCCACACATTATCAAATGGCCGAATTTGGGAGGCACTGCTGCTTTAAGGCATCCTATTGCCATTTTCTTTTTCTCTTGAACTGTTGTGTGTTTCTGCACAGGGCAAAGGTGAAGAGGAAGACGATTTTTTGAGGGGGGAAACTCCCCAAAATGATGGCCTGATCAGCGTGACGCCAAGCTCCTTCAACGCTCTTGTTCAGAATTCAGAAACCAATCTTGGATCGCCACCAGTTGAACTGCAGTTGCACCTCTGATCTTTTGACAACCACAGTTAGCAACGACATTTATGTTTGAGAGACCCTCGGCAGGAGGGGGGGGAGACCGTTTCTAAGTTCCTCATTTCTTGCAATAATTCAGATATCAAAACTGAAAGTTTGACTCACGGACAGGATGATACATTAGGCTTTTTGTACTTATTTACTGCAAAAAGCCTTTCGCATTCATTTTTGTTTTCCTTTTGTATTTCCCTATTTTAGGGCAGATCCCCTAAGATTAAACACAGGACTGTGATGCAGAGAATGATAGCGTATGGATTAAAAAAGCCCCCCAAAATGCTACAGTTTTAAAAGCAAACTTGCTAATCAGAACACAGAGATCTGCTTCTTTGGGTTAAAAAAAAAAGAGGCCTACTTTGAAGAGAGCTTTTACAAGATTCCTGCTTAATCCGAGAATAATGATAAGGGTCAAAAGTTATGCCAAAACAATTTGAGAGCTTCATATTCACGGAAGTTGCATAAAATGAGACTTATGCTTACTCTGATTTCATTGCTGAACTTGTCCATGTCAGAAGGACAGGAGAGTACCTGATTTGCTTTGTATACAAACATACTGGCAGGACAACTGACCACCAAAACCATCATCCAGTGGTCCGTGCCACTGAACAGAAAAGAAGCAAGCCAGCTGAAGTGGTATTTAGCCAGCCGTGTGGCACACCACTAAAACCTTGCTGTTATCCCACAGCTGCTACCAGGAGTGATACTCCCTCTGCTTAGAGCCAGCCCTAACTGTTGTTTAGCCTACCGACTCTAAAAGTTTTAGCTTCAGTAGTGTGTGTGGTTTATCGTGAAAAAAAAAATCACAGAAAGAGGACTTGCCAAGATTGAAATTTCGATAGACAGCCTGTTCACCCGTTCCGCCAAATTCCAGCAATTCAGATTTCAAATGATGGCTTTTGGGAGCTGTTTTCCGGCATTATGGAAGTATCTCTCCAAAGACAGGTAACGATGTAGTTCCCAAACACTGGCTTGCAAGCCCCTAGATGGGACAGAAGTAAATCTGAGGCAGGAGGGAGACACAAATTGGGAGGGGTGAACGACTTGTAGATGCTAAGCAGGGTATTTTTAAGATTTCACTCATATCTCATGTCTAGCTGATAATACTGGGCACGGAGTAAAGTGCCAGCTTTGTACCCAAAGCTGGATCACTGTCTTCAGATCGCAACTCCCATTCTGCTTGGGCAGACCAAAAAACAAAATGTACAATTTCTGCTATTTAAAAAAAATAGACCAATGTGGAACATGAAGCAAGAGTGGTCATCTCAGAAAAGGAAACCCACGTCTCGGGAATCATGCAAGCAAATAATGATTTTCATTAAAATAAATTAAGGTTTTGTTTTATTTCTAATGAAAATGTTTCATTTTACAAAGCTTGAAGATTATGTCATTATAGAGATTAAACATTATTTATTAAAAGTGAATGTTTTTTCTTTGCTCAACCCTTACCCCTCTGAAATTATTAGCATACAAATCTATTTCTTAGTTTAGAGCAGTGGTGGCGAACCTATGGCATGGGTGCCAGAGGTGGCACTCAGAGCCCTCTCTGTGTGCACGCATGCCATTGCCCCAATCCCAGGCCTTCACCTGGGTTTTATAAATCCTTTTCGCTTTAGGCCTCTGCCGCTGTGTGCAAAAAAACCCCAAAAAACAAAAAAATAAGGTTCAATCAGTCAATTGCAACTTCTCGCGGGGGGAAAAAAAATCTTGCAAAGTTGGAATTGATTGATTGAACTTTGTAGTCCCACTCAGTCTGCCTTTACCACCGTAGCCACGCCCACCCAATGAGCCACACCCACCCAGCACCCAATGATGCATAAGTGGGTTTTGGGTTGCAGTTTGGGCACTCGGTCTCTAAAAGGTTCGCCATCACTGGTTTAGGGGATTTCTTAAGTTTTCTAACGAGCAATTTCTCGGCCTTCTGCTTACGTGGGCATCGGTCTAAACAAGTCCAAATTCAACTCTAAATTAGAAGCTTGCCATCAAATGTTGCATTGCCGCTTATTAACAGAATTTCCACTCGCCTTGGGTTGCAATAAAGATGGTCATTTTTCTGCAGCAGATTTTCTACAGCCACACCACGAAAACATCTGGGAGGATCTCAAGAGGAAGGTTGATCTGCTTAAGAGATGACCATCCACAATGGTTTGCCCTAGAGCAGATCCTTCTTAGTTTCTTTCTGAAATATGGCTGAGAAAGTTTGAGTCGGAAAGCCAACTTGGTAGAAAGGTTAAAGTGCCAGCCTAGAAAGTAGGAGACTGAGATGTAGTATTGTTAGGCATGAAAGCCAGCTGGCTGCCTGGATCAGTTCCTCTGTCTCTCAGCCCAAGTCACCTCAGCATCATTGTGGGGAGAGTAGGAGGAGGAAGGTGTATTATGTATGTTCCCTGCCTTGAGTTGTGTATATAAAAGTGGTATTAAAAAAAAAAAAAATTAAGAGAATGTTCCCATCTTCCCCCTAGTGGTAAGGGTTGGTAAAACCTGCACAGATCAAAGCAGGAAGCTGTCTATTAAAGGCACAAGAGCCCCAACAGGATAAAGGGATGAAACTTTTGCCTTTGCATTTTTTTTTTTATGACTCACTGGCACTGGGTTGCTTGCACTCCTAAGTTAAGAGAAAACGAAGGGAGAGTATGTACAACTCAATTCAGTGAAGAACAAGCAACTTCACAATATCCTTCACTAGCAAAGTCGGGCACGTACAGGGTAAAGAATATAGAAAGGAAGCAAAGTCAAGGTCCCACGTAGAGGATTCTTTCGCAAAAGCGTATTTGCACATTTGAAACAAAAATACCTCAAAATCAGCCTGTGCAAGCATCCAAATATGATCTAAGAGATACCAATTTCTGTGCTTTTAAGAACGAGACCTTAAAACAGATTTATCGGGACTTTTTCAAAGGGCTGCTTGCCCCTTTAAGGGCAAAAGATTCTTCCTGTATAATTAACTTCACCTTCTTACCTTCACAGCTCTTACCGGGGTTGTCTTTGCTGCGTTGAAAAAGTGAGTCCGAGTGCTTTCCTTAGAAAGTTTGAAATGAATTTGATTGTTCTACTGTGTTCTACAATGTTCTACTGTTTTTGTCGCTCCCAACAAGCAGTCAATAAGTGTGGAGGGACAGCTACCACATTCGTCTCCTCTGAAGACTTCCATTGGGCAATGTACAATCAGGAAGGAGAGGAACTCTAGATAAAGGTGAACAAGCCATGTTTGGCTTAAGTTGCGGTTGTGTGAGTAAGCTACATGCTTTTATGACCCGCACTCATTAGCTCCAGGCGATGAAGCCAGCATTTACTTTCTCTTGATCACCCTCAAGACAAGATGAATGATATCAGCTATTAAAGTAATAAAGACCCCATTGGCTCTGCCAAATGAATGAGGTAATAATGAAGCTTTCATATTTTAAGGTGTGCAAAGATTAAGATGGACAAAAAGTAGACAAAACAAGCAGAGACTGCACTCTTTATTTGGACAGACTTCATGATGTACAGTTTTAGGATAATGAATCTTTGTAAGTCTGCATTTTTGATTAACAACTAAGGTTCCATAGTCTTTCTTAAAACCAGGGTTTCATGAATTAAATCTGTTACTCAAAGTAAGTGCATTGGCCTCAATGGAGCCTGATTCCTACTAAATTTAAATTAGGATTAGAATAGAATAGAGCTGGAAGGGACCTTGGAGATCTTCTAGTCCAGCCTCCTGCTCAAGCAGGAGAACCTATACCATTTCAGACAGGTGTCTAGCCTCTTCTTAAAAACCTCCACTGATGGAGCGCCCACGATTTCTGGAGGCAAGCTGTTCCACTGGTTAATTGTCCTCACTGTCAGGAAGTTTCTCCTTAATTCCAAGTTGCTTCTCTCTTTGATCAGTTTCCAGCCATTGTTTCTTGTCCTCCCTTCAGGTGCTTTGGAGAATAGATAGACCCCCTGTTCTTTGCCCCCCCAACCCATAATCTGGATATGCCTTTTGCTAGTGTCTGTTTTATGCACATTTTAACTAGCATATTAACTAGTCAACTAGTTTTTCTACTCCTTTGAGTAGAATTTACGGGGAAGCAAGTTCAATATGCATCAATATTTTATCAGGAACTTGCTTGGGAATTTAGCTACCGAGGGCATCCTGGTTTATTACCTGTACTTCGAGTTGTCCCCGTAGCCCTTTTGGGAAAAGAGTTTTTGCAAAAGATTCAAAGGAAGAGACAAAGAGATTGGACCCTGTTTGTGTTGCCCTCTAGCAATCTGATGGGAATGGGTAGGCAGCACCCCCAAATTCCCTGTTTTTTTAGCAAAACGAAAATCTTGCTTGCACCAGGAGGTCTTAAGCCCAGCTTAAGCCTGCATGTCAGTTTCTGCTTATCCCTGACACTGTGTTTTTAATAACTGCAGATAGGTAAACCGTTAGCATTGGGTGGAAAAGGACATCCCTACCTGAGTTAGCTCAGGTTACTGATAAACAACTGGAGAACAGCAGCCCTGCTTCCCACTTCCCCTTTAGGACTTCCTTGAGGCAAGTAAGCTCTCCAGCCAGTGTCTGTCCTCCTCTTTCAGGAGTCATTGAAACAACTTCTTGAGATGTTGCCGTCTTCTTCTTGGGAGCCTCAAAATATCACCGCAGGCTGTTTGCCCTTTGAAAGCTATTTCTCCTTCGCAGGCATCACAGGTGAGTTTTGAGAAGCAAACCCACCGCGAAAAAGCAAAGCACTCAAACAAACCCACAAAGGAAGTCTTATAATTGAAATTACTCCCCCCACTGAAGTTGCTGGCAGCACAGAAAGTTCCTTCCTACGTCTGAAGCTAGTTAATACGTAGCCTGGCTACAGAGCTACTCCCCTTTCCAACTTGGTGTAAGACCTTGAGTCATAAACTAACCAAGTGGCTGAAATCACACAAAAATAACTCCTCGTGGTTTTTAACCAAACTTGTCCATTTGCAGCTGCTAGGCCCTTGAGTGATCTGGCTAGTATTTCTATCTGCATCAGTTCTAAAAATGCTTCCTTTGCATCCTATACCTGCAGATATTTTTGCTGAACTTCACAGACTTGGAAGGCATCCCCTCAAAACGATCTCATTCAAAAGCTTACGGCAGTCTCTTTCTTTGCAGACTCAGAAACACCGAAATTAACAACAGAGAAGCCACAGGTAGATGCCATGTATTTAGGAGACCCCTTGCAAGGAGCATCAACTGGAGTCAACGTGCTGAACATGTAAGTGACGTCATCAGCCTCCACTTCACTGGTTCTCATCTCTGGAGGTTGAAATAGTGGGAGATGTCACCTAGGGTGATGCTTTACATGCATAATATTCTAGGTTGAGTCCCTCACATCTCCAGAGAAGATGGAGAACACTCTTTGTGAAATGCTGGAGAACTCCTTAGTCAGTTACTCATTGGGATTGAACAGTGCAAACTACGTTTTAACTATAGCTTGCTAAACAGTGGGAAAGGTGGTGAACCTCAACAAGATAAACTTGAGATTCTAGTGGATGACAAATGTCCTGTCTTCATTGACCCAGGTTTACCCAGCCCAGAGACATTCAGAAACTTCAGAGGAGGAACATACCAAGAAAGATGCGTTGGACCCCAAAGAATACGCTTGTCTTGGAAATGGTAAAGCTCTGCAAACCTGTTACTTCTCCAATAGTTGAAGGAAATCGGCTACTTCCCTTCAACTTTCATTTAGGGTTATGTCCGTTGCATGTAACCAATTCTAAAAACTGACTTGAGTGGAGATACTTTGAGATCCAGCATTTGAGATAACTTCTTTTAAACAAAATACAATCGGAATCCTTCATTTTGAAGGTGACGTAATACGATTATCTCCACAAACCTTGCTTTGGACTCGTTCCATGGGAAATACGTAGAATTTCTGGATTCACTCCAGGTTTATAGCTGTTCTCCCCAGTTCCAACTGCATTTTGCCGGTTAATTCTTCCTCTTCATTTGAAGACCGAAGAGATGTTTCATAGCTAGCAAGAAATGACCTAGCAGTTTGTAGAACATCTGCATGAAGTTTGCTGTCCCAAGTCAAAGATATTTTCCTGCTTTTGAGGTGTCTCAACCTCAAAGATCTCCTGCGCTGAAGGTCATTCTTACATAAGACTCTTATGCAAAACACTAGCTCATGTTTGAATCTCCAGCATTGTTTCACTGGTGTCTTCTGCAGGAAGGGACTCTGGCCTTGTCCTCCTTGACAGCTGTCTGGGATGATGCCTCAACATTCACCACACCTTTCCAGGACAGGTGTTACCAGGTGAGTATCTATGCAGACAGAGGTCCATTTTTATCAGGACATGAGGCCCCAGCTGGAGAACATTTCTGAAAATCTGCATAGTTGCCTTCAGACATTATTCAAAGCAACGTGGATTTGTCTTTCTATCTTTAGTTCAGGTAGTCCTCAACGTACAGCCACAAGTGAGCCCAAAATTTACGTTGCTAAGTGAGTTTTGCCCCATTTTACGACTTTTCTTGCCACACTTGTTAAGGGAACCTTTTCTTTATTAAGTTAGGAACACGGTTGTTAAGTGGATCCGGCTACTCCCATCGGCTTTGCTTGTCAGAAAGCCGCAAAGGGGAGGAATCACGTGGCCCCGGGACATTGGAACCGTCATAAATACGAGTCAGTTGCCAAGCGTCTGAATTTTGATCACATAACCGTGGGGATGCTGCAACGGTTGTGTCAAAAAAACAGTCATAAGTCGGTTTTTTTCAATACCGTCGTAATTTTGAACGGCCGCTAAAGGAACTTTTGTAACTCAAGGACTACGTAGCCAGTTCCTGGTTTATATGACAACACTTATCTGGTGTAGTATTGAAAGTGCTGAAACTAGAAAACGGGAGATTGTGAGTTTTAGGCTAGTTCTAGTGCTTACACCAACACACACGGATACATGTGTTGGCATACATTCCTTTGGTAGCTTATTTTTTTTAATGAAAATTCTAATTTAAGAAAGATAGAAGAATTAATATGTACAAAGCAAAATCTCTAAGACCTCACTATTCTTTACAGTGGGCATTTTTGGACAGTAAGAATGACTCTGTTTAGAGCGAGAAAGGACAATTTAATTTGGAAGTAGCCAATCACCTTATCTTCATAACCTCCGTTCAATCTTCAGCGACTGGAAATCCTTTTAAGTTATTGTGAGTTTATCTGGGTTGCGGTGAGGGACTGAACTGTCCTCTCACTTCACTTTCCTGACTCTTGTGTCTTTGAGGTTTCCATAAAGCTGAGACCACACCTTCCTGAATTTCTAGAAGCCCTGGCCAAAATCTATGAGGTAAGCGCTCTACCACAATTAAATGTGACCTGTGCGGAATTGAATATGATGCAGAAGATCTGTAGAAGATGGCTAGGGATTCAAGAAGGGGCCAGAGTCCAGAGACAGGCCGTGGGTCTTCCTAGCAAAAGAATCCCAAGTTCAGGTTCCATGCTAGGCTAAAAGACAACGAAGCTGGGTTCCCAAGGTTTATTTAACTTTGGCATGGTCACGGTTGACCACGATTGCGCAATAAGCTAAGCCATGAATCATATGAATCATCCAGTCAGAGCTGAAGAAGCGCCTTGTTGCCCACCTCAAATCAGAGCCTGAGCTAAAATAATCCTTAAAATTGTTTTTATAGCTCTATGATAAAGGCAAAAGAGCAGTTGGGAATTCTCTCTGGATCACTTGCTGAACGATTTTGGCTCAAATTCTTCAGCTAACCCTTAAAGCCGATGAGAAGAGGTTGAGGGAAGAGAAGCCTAGCATCTCAGCTGCTTTGGTTACAATCAATCGTCCGTAACAATGTCGAAGGATTACTTTGAATGTTCCACAACTTGCTAAGAAAGCCTTCTTGCTATTTCCTTTTAGATTTTTGTGTTTACTACTGCCAAGCAAGATTATGCGGATCAAATGTTGAAGGTCCTTGGACCCCAGAGGAAGCTAATCAGGTGATGAAGGCTTTGGAACAAATTCCAGGGCTTGAAGAAAGTTGAATTTCTTGGATGATTGTTCTTCCCTTGTGCTGCCTGTCCTCAGCTCTTAAATACCTGATAAGCTGGTGGTACATCAGCACTCCTGATGGTTGACAAGGGGCCCGTTTCCCAGTGCTTTAATCATTTCCCTGGCTATTTTTGTCCTTACTCAGCCAACAATTTTAATAGCTGCAAAGTTGAATGTATGTCCTTATTCATTGCAATGGGAGCTGCCAATGAGTTTGTCTTCTTTTCTTGTTTTCTTCCAAGGCACCAGCTATATCAAGAGGACTGTCTCTGTAGCCATGGTTCCTATGTAAAGGACCTGTCAGTAGTGGAAAGAGATCTAGACAGGACTGTGGCAGTTGCAACTTACCTGCAAGCGTTTCCCTACCAGGTGATGCTCAGGTGTGGTACTCCAACATGACACGGGAGGATACTGTTCCATAGCAAGCCATCCCGTGGAGTTCTCTAGCTTGGGACAAAGTACTTTGCCCTGGAACCGTTCTCTTCAGGGTCTCTGGTAGACATTTTCTCCATCAACCAGTCTCTATTTTTTTTTTATATATAATGAGGAAGATGTGTCCTGATTGAATGTGAACCTGGATCCCTTGGGTTCAATCAAATGCTTTCAAATTGGTGGTTGACAGCATTTCAAAAGTCAGGGCTAGCTGTTAATAATTTAGAGCAGTGTTTTTCCACCTTGGCAACTTTAAGATGTGTAAAACTTCAGCTCCCAGTGCTGGCTGGGGAATTCTGGGAGTTGAAGTCCACCCACTTTAAAGTTGTGCAAAGCTGAAATGTAGGATCCTTGATGTTCTCCAAGCTTAGTGGTTTTCTTGCAGACATTTCATGACCAGCTAAATAACATCAACAGTGCACTGATGGGTCATGAAATGTCTGCAAGAAAACAACCAAGGGCTCCACAGTTCTCCTCCTCCACCTCCTCCTCCTCCTCCTCCTCCTCCTCCTCCTCCTCCTCCTCCTCCTCCTCCTCGCAAACCTCACTCTCTTCTAGCACTGATGATGTTACTAGTTGGGTCATGAAACATCTGCAAGAAAAAAACCAAGCTCAAAGAGCACCAAGGACCCCACAGTCGTCGTTGTTGTTGTTGTCGTCGTCATCCTCCTCCTCCTCTCTTCCACTTCTAGTTCTAGTTCTCTTCTCCACTCTATAAACCCATTCCAGCACTGATGATATTACGTAGTTGCATCATGAAACGTCAGCTACCTGCCCAAACATTACAACGTCTGAGAACTTCTGATTTATGCTTGGCCTCGAATGAATGTTCTTGTCTCTCCGTAGATGTCCAATGTGGTAGTGGTCCCTAAATGGGAGGGCGATTCTCAAGACAAAGAATTGCTTCGCCTTATTCCCGTGCTCCAAACTATTAGTCAGGCAGTAAGTAAACGACTTTGTATCAGTCCAAATGAATGGAGAAGCCACAGAGCTGAATGTTTAGATTGCTTAAGAGCGGTGAAATTATATACTAAAAAGTTTCCAGCTTTTAATGCTTCCCAACCTCTTAACCGGAAACTTCAAATGGAATCGTAATTAAACCCACCAGCAGAAGGCTATCCACCTTTTTTTAAAAAAAATTGAACAAGAACGGTTATCGCTTTAGGCTGATGGTGCCAGTAATGAATTGATTGAATGGAAAGACGTATCTGCTTCAAAAACAGCCTAACCTTTTAAAATGAAAGATAAACCAGGGTGAAAGGACTTAAAATGACTGTAGGCCAGGGATGTCCAACCTTGGTAACTTTAAGACCTGTGGACTTCAACGCCCAGAATTCCCCAGCCAGCATGCTGGCTGGCTGGGGAATTCTGGGCGTTGAAGTCCACAGGTCTTAAAGTTACCAAGGCTGGACATCCCTGCTGTAGCCAGTAATGCTGGGAATTGAAATTTTACTTTCCTTCATTTGTCCATGTTGCATTTACAGGTTGACATTCGCACTGAAATAGAGAGAAAACGTCGTGGCCGGGGGAATGTTCAGCATTAATGCCTGCTTCCATTATAAGTCTCCCCTTCAAAGCTGATTTGGAACCTCCAGACTTTAAATCACAACCTAGTTTGGATATTTTGGGCAAGCTATTTTGGGGTACCCGATTCATTTCTGTTGCTTTGAAATAGATAGAAATTCAGGGACTGATTTCATCGCTAGACACATTTTTTTTTTTTTACCAATTCGAGGAAACGATGGATGCTCAAACATTTTTGTTTTTGAATGGAGAGAAAAACCAGTATTGTCCCATCCACTATGTAGCCGCACATTTTTCTCCCGTTTGCAATGTAGGTTGAGGTGCGCTTGAAGGAGCATCTTCCAACTTTCTAGATTTATTCCTTGGCTTCTGCAAATGCACAAAGCAGACATAAATAGAAGGTTCCTGAGCCATCAAAAAGTTTTCATATGAAGTTATTTTTTAAGAGGCCGGGCTTTGCAGAAGAAATTCTTTGTCTTAAAAGATTTCTTTTGTGTTTTATTTCTTTCCACCCAAAGAGCGATTTCATGCACAAGCAATAAAATGAATTTTGTCTTCAGCTTATGCATTTTTACTACGCTAACCCTCCTACTCTCTTTCAATCTGAGCCTTCGTTCTTTCCTCTGCAAGGAAGTAATACGGGCATTTCTCGTTTAGTGACCGCATCGTTTAGCAACTGTCTCATTTAGCAGCCCTTCACATTTATGATGCTGATGAAAAAGTATCCTTTTATTGACTGTCTTTGCAGGTCTGTGAAGCAAAGGAAAGGTGAAGTCGGATCATGAGCAAAGTTGCATTATACTTCATGTAAATAAGCTCTCCGAGTAAACCAGACAGGAAACATGACCATTTGAGTTAAATCTACTTTATTATAAGGCTGTATTAACAGAATGTTGCAAGTCTGCAAGGATAAAATTCCTGTTGCCAGTTTTAATTGCAGAGCAGTTCCTAAATTTCTTCCTCTAACCGTTAAGCTTCTGTGGGCTCCTCCGTTTCTTATCTACCATCCTTAGGTAGAAGCACCTCTTTCCCTCGTCCCCCAAGGCCATCCACACTTTACATCAGCGGTTCTCAACCTATGGGTCGCGACCCCATTTGGGGTCGATCGCCCATTTTTGGGGGGTCGCCAAAGGCGGCGATCCGCCATTTTTCGCGGCGCCGTGCACGCGCACCGCGCATGGGGGTGGCGCTGCGCATACGCACCGCGCATGGGGGCCGCGCTGCGCATGCGCACCACGCATGGGGCGGCACCGTGCACACGTGCCGCGCATGGGGGGCAGCGCCACGCATGCACGCCGCGCATGGGGGGGCCGTCGCGTATGCGTGTCGCACGTGGGGGCCCCGCCCCCATGCGTGCGGCCCGGCGCATGCGCAGAACGTTTGTGTGACGGGGGTCGCCGTCACACAAACGTTGAGAAGCACTGCTTTACATCTAGCAACAGCTTCACTTAATGATCAAATTGCTGGTCCCAATTGTGCTTGCTAAACGAGGACCACCTCTACTCTTCCATGGATTCTTGACCCTTTGGGAACAATGAAATTTGAGGGTGTGTGTGTTTGTGTGTGTGTGAACTGTGGGGCCCTTGGTGCTCTCCGAGCTAGGTTGTTGGCTTGCAAACCTTTCATAACCCAGCTAGGTAACGTTGTCAGTACTAGAAGAGAGTGGGAGTTATGGAGTGAAAGAGGAGGACTAGAATTGTGGTGTCCTTGATGCTCTCTGAACTAGGTTGTTGGCTTGCAAAGGTTTCATAACCCCAAAGTTTTGTTAGTGCTAGAAGAGAGTGGGAGTTATGGAGTGGAGGAAGAGGAGGAGGAAGATGGTGAGGTCGTTAGTGCTATCCGATCCAGGCTCTTGGGTTGCAGACCTTTCACGACCCAACTAGGTAACATTGTCAGTGCTAGAAGCCAGTGGGAATTATGGAGAGGAGGAGGAGGAGGAGGAGGAGGGAGATAGTGGGGTCCTTGGTGCTCTCCGATTCAGGCTTGGCTTGCAGCGAGGCAACACCAGGGCTGCACAAGATTCACCCCTCCAGATGTTGCAGCACCTCCCTTTCCCAGCTGTGCAAGGTTGGGAAGCCACCTGAGAACTGCCCAGCCCTGGCAGAGCCCAGGATCAGGGGTAGGCGACCTTGGCTCTTTTATGACTTGTGCACTTCAATACCCAGAATTCCTGAACCAGCTATGCTGACTTAGGCCTTCTGCGAGTTGAAGTCCACGAGTCATAAAAGAGCCAAGGTTGCCTACCCCTGGCCCAGGTGGACCAACCCACCTGCAGGACACAGCCTTGGGGAGCCCCAGCAAGCCCACCTGGACTGGCCACTGCCCAGGGTTGCAAACCATTGGAGTCCCTGAACCCTCCCCCCCCCACGGGATGGATATGAGGGGGGGTTCCTCTTTGGCTCCAACCCCCCTCCGAACTACATTTCCCAGGGCCCTTGGCGGGCGGGGCGGGGCCTGAGCCCAGCTGGCTGCTCCGAGCAGGAACTCGCCCCGCAGCTCCGGCGAGGAAGCTGCTCGACATGCCTCTGCTGGTGGAAGGGCGGCGGCTCGACCCGGACCGGCCCCTCCGGGAGCTGCTGCGCGCCTTCCCGGAGCTGGAGGTGAGTGGGGGGTGGGTGGGGGTGGGCTCCCGCGCCCAGGTGAGGGCAGGCGATCGCCGCTGCGGGGCTCAGGTGCGCGGGGCGGGCAGGGGGGGATGGCTGGCTTTGGGGCTTTGAGAACCTCGCCCGGGAGATCCCCTCCCGGGCTGGCCTGCAAACTGGGGGCGTCTTTCTCTTGTGCAAAGCGGGGGGGAGTCCTTGGGGCAGGCGGGACTGGGGATCCCCCCTGGCACCTAGAAGGGGAATCTAGGTGTGTGTGTGTGGGGGGGTGGCAGGTATTTGCAAGGGGGTTTACCTGCGAGAGGGAGTGCCTGCCTGCCTCCCTCAAACTATGTTTTTGCCCCACCTGCTAAGCCAGTATTTCTCAATCTGGGTAGCCTTGAAGAGATGTGGACTTCAATTCCCAGAATGCCCCAGCCAGTCTGCTTTAAGAGAGATGTGGACATCAACGCCCAGAATTTCCCAGCTAGCATGCTTTAAGAGATACGTGGACTTCAACTCCGAGAATTCCCCAGCTAGCATGCTTTAAGAGATATGTGGACATCAACTCCCAGAATTCCCCAGCTAGCATGCTTTAAGAGATATGTGGACTTCAACTCCCAGAATTCCCCAGCTAGCATGCTTTAAGAGATATGTGGACATCAACTCCCAGAATTTCCCAGCTAGCATGCTTTAAGAGATATGTGGACATCAACTCCCAGAATTCCCCAGCTAGCATGCTTTAAGAGATATGTGGACATCAACTCCCAGAATTCCCCAGCTAGCATGCTTTAAGAGATATGTGGACTTCAATTCTCAGAATCGGAATGCTGCCTGGGGGGGAATCCTGGGAGTTGAAGTCCACACCTTTTCAAATTGACAAGGTTGAAAAACACTATGCTAAGCCATAATGGGACTTAATACGGTGGCCGAGTATTTTGCATGATCCCAAGCCCTTATGGCTGCAAACCCTGATTTGTGGGTGAACATAATGCCTAGATCCACGCGATTGGACCTTAGTGGGCTAGGAACATCCCATGATGGAGAGCGAGGTAGGCATATCATCCTGAGGATCTTGTGAATGGTATAATACACTTGGGGAGAGCTAGTTTGGCCTAGTGGTTAAGGCAGCAGGCTAGAAACCAATGTTGGCTTAGCTTGAGGCCTTAGTTCTTCAAACTAAGAGGAACTGGCTAACTTTTCAGGAATCTTCATAAAGTGCCCTAGCACCTCCAGGGATCCAGACTCATTCCCTATTCTCATAATTGATTCTTGCTTGTATGTTTGTGGGAATAAACTGGTACAGCTGAAGCAATTCCCAGTTTATGTGAAGCTTTCTTTGGTTTCCAGATCTTGGAAGAGGCGTTAGCTATGTTTCTTATGTTAGACGCCCAGATCAGAGAATTTTTGATAGCTGCTTTGCTGAAGCTGTGTTGTGTGTGAACCATGTACAAACAAAAACTCTTGTTCCCCAATCAGGAGCAAGCCAAACAGTTCCGCAGCCAACCTGCTCAAGCGGTGGGACCAAAAGGACTTCTCTACGTCCAGCAAAGAGAATTTGCTGCTACCACATCCAAAGATGGTAGGTGGACTTCGAGGGAGTGTAAACGCTCAGTTCAAGAGAAGACAGCCAAGATCTTACATGATGTTCTCCCGCTTTCTTGATAGGTTCCGTTTCCATTCTTGGCTCAGACGATGCTACAACATGCCATTTTGTGGTTCTGAGACACACAGGTGCTGCCATAACTGGGAAATCCCTGGTTTGGATCCCATGGTCTATAATTAGACATTTATAAAGTTTGAGGTTGCTGGTTTAGAACTGGAACACGAGCTTTATGGAAGTCCTTGAGACTGAAGTTTTTGTCCTCCTGGCTCCATTGTTTAGAAGAAGTACAACATAAACCCACAGATCTTGTCACAACCGGCCATAACTCCAGTGTCTTCCAGTTGAGCGATCTTCAGCTCCTCAAAATTCCTTTGGCTCATATATCTCTCACATGCGCTTTGATAAGTCTGTTCTAAATAGAGAAATGTTCTTTATAGTTATAGTTGCCCATAAGATGCAAATTCTCATATTATTATTATTATTTTTAGGGAGTGGAGCCATTTGTCTAACTCACTGTGATGGATCAGACACCGAAACAGAAGTTCTGCTGGTGATAAATGCAGTAAAAGTTCTTTCTCCAAGCACTGACTGTGGAAGGTCAGTTGTTTTTTGTTTTTTTTAAAATAGTTCTGTTAAATAATCTGGTGAAAAGTTGGGGCTTCATGCTTCTCAGCTGCCTTCTACCTCTTCAGCGTAATAGTTAAATTCGGGTAGTCCTCAAATGCTAAACCATTTGTTTAGCGAACATTTGAAATTACAGCAGCAGTGGAAAAAAATTATGACCGCTTCTCACACTAAGGCCATCACATCATCCCCATGGTTGCGTGATAAAAACTAGGATCCTATGGCTATAAGTCAAGTACTTATTTATAAATAACAGAATGTCCCTGATATGCATTCTATGTTGTAGTACTTATCCTGGACCAGAATAGATTCATAGTGAGAAATATGATGATGGTAATAATAATAAACAGGTGAGCTTTTAACAAACAGGTGAACTTTTAACATTCAGCCTGTTAATTCGAATTTAATCCAAAAGGGATTGAAAAATTGAATGTTTCTGGATTTTCTGTCTGCTAGGTTGGAGTTGCATCTGATTGGAGGTTTTTGTGATGACAGACGCCTGTCTCAGCGCCTTACCAGTCAACTCTTAAGTAAGTTTGTGTTTCGGTTTTGCTGGGGTCTTTGTGACATTTTGAGGTTCTCGTTGAAGTAGAATAAAGTTGGCCAGTTGCGTGAGCTAGTGGGAATTTTGTGGACTCCAGAGCACCCACCCACTCCCCAAAAAACATTTCTGCTTTAGGGCAAGGACTTACATGATGTAGGTTGAAATAAAGGGAGCCAATTACATTTATGGAGGAGAAGAGATCTGTTGGTGATGACTCATGTTGATACCTACAGAATATATGATACCATCGGTAGGAAGAGTACAATGCTGGACTGTTAGTTTTGGGTCAAAATTCCTCAGGATAATTTCCTTGGAACTGATTGGTTGATTGGATTTTTGATTAAGCTAGAAACTTCATGTCCTATGGAGTCTTGATTCAGGAATGGATTAATGGTAGTGGGCATAGGGGGGCAGTTGTCCTAGATGAGAAGCTGTGGGATTTGGTATCTTGATAATCCCATTTTGGAAATAGAGTGGAGCTACTGAAATATTTGAATAATAAAATCATCTTTCGTTGTAGTTTATATATTTTTTTTCCTGAGTGTATGAGTTCATGATCTTTCCTTTTGTGTTCTTAGGAGCGTTTGACCGTCTGCTAGATAATGTTTATTTGATGACATTCTGTGTCACAGGTAATTATATATATGTCTTTGACTTAATTGTCTTGTCTGAATCAGTTTGTAATGCAACCCACTCATGTTCTGAAATTTGGCCATCAATTTTACAATCCTGGGACCAGCAAAAAGTCCATAAAGCATTGCCACAATTTCATAAAAACATGACTTATTTTAATCTTGGTCAAATAAACCAACTTTACATCCCTTCCTTTTACTTACGAAGATCTTAATAATTCATTCATTCAAACGTTATTGTCGGATTTGATCTCCCTTCAATTCTTTGTCCTATTGCAAAGGAAAATTGTTTTCTCAACAAGGATTAGCTAAAGGAAGGATTAAATCTATGAGCTAATTTCTCCTCTAAGTTTCTGGGTGTGCTCAAGGGCCCTTAAAAATACTAGCAAGCTGGAATTCGTAATACGGCAGAAGGGAAAAACCAGAAAAACAATGCACTCTGTTCTGAAATGACCCAGCTGTGCCATGATTTCCAATTTATCACTTTTTTTTTGATAAAGTCAGTTTCTATGTGTTCATTTCAGAACTGAATGACCTTCAGGAAAATGGCAGGCATTTGCCATATATTTACGGAATTGGTGAGTTTAACGCTTCTTGCATTTGAGGTCAGGATTAAAAACTGTGGTTTACAATTGTGAGCTTGGATATGCCACCTTTATTTTATTTTTTTTTAAAAAATGACTCATTAAGATACCAATGAATGCAAATAAAAGGTGCATGTTTTGTTTAACACTTAAAGAGAGGCAGTTTCACAGGTTTTCCTGTCAGTCAACTCTCTCTGTCCTTCAGAAGGATCTTAATTTCTTATTGTGTGGCTCCTTCCCTTTCAGCTGCGAATGTTAAAACTGGTGAGATTTTCCACGCCACGTTTCCAGACCGAGGCCCTGATGAAGACATGCGGTCTGCCAGGGTCTTAGCAGGAGCAAAGGTTAGCAACGATTGTACAAAAGGATGAGAAAGGGAACAACGCTTAAAGATAAAACGTAGAAGAGAATATAGTAGCTAGGGAATGAATTACAGAATTCTTGATATTCTTTAAGCTTGGTTGTTTGCTTGTAGACATTTCCTTACCCAACTAGATATCATCAGTGTGAGGAACGGTGGGTGGGTGGGTGGGTGGGTGGGTGGATAGGTGGATAGACAGACAGACAGACAGACATAGACAGAGAAACAGAAAGACAGATGAGAGGATAGATGAGAGAGAGAAGATAGAGATAATATAGACACAGACAGACAGACAGACAGATAGATGAGAGGATAGATGAGAGAGAGAAGATAGAGATGATATAGATAGATAGACAGATAGATAGATATAGACAGACAGAGACAGAGATAGATGATATGATTTGATAGAGATAGGCAGGCAGGCAGACAGACAGACAGAAAGACAGATGAGAGGATAGATGAGAGAGAGAAGATAGAGAAGATATAGACAGACAGACAGACAGATAGATGAGAGGATAGATGAGAGAGAGAAGATAGAGATGATATAGATAGACAGACAGACAGACACAGACAGATAGATATAGACAGACAGAGACAGATGATAGATATGATTAGATAGAGATAGGCAGGCAGACAGACAGACAGACAGACATAGGCAGACATAATAGCTTGCCCTGTCATTATTGGCATGTGGTTTCTCCTGGGAGAAAACCGATAGGAGAGTTGGAGCAAGGAACTTAAATGAACATAAATAAGAATCAGAGAAAGATATAAATGGGAAGTGGCAACACAATGGGGCAGGATTAACACAGCATCTGGTTCTGCCAAGTAACCACGGTTTGTGCTGCGTTCGCTCCTGTTTGGTCTGCAGTAACCTGCTGAAACTGTATTATCTCTTGTAGATGATCAGCATTTATGACTCAAAGAAGGAACAACTTTGCATTGGGCCTTACTACTGGATGCCTTTTCCCCACGTGGATTTCTGGTTGGAGCAGAGCAACCAGAGCATCTTACAGGTAACTGGAGTTTGTCAAGGACATCAGGGACCCCAGCTGGAGAAAGCAAGGCTGAAAGATTGCTGAGTTCATATTCTATGTTAAGAAGAACTATTGTGGAGTCCTTGGTGCTCTCTGAGCTGGGTTATTTCCTTGCAGACATTTCATTACCAAAGTAGGTAACATCATCCGTGCTAAAGGGAATGCAGTTTGCAAAGGGGAGTAAGGAGAGAAGGAAGAGGAGGTGGAGGAGAACTGTGGACTCCTTGGTGCTCTCTGAGCTTGCTTGTTTTCTTGCAGATGTTTCATGACCCAACTAGGTGACATCATCAGGGCTAGTAAGGGAGTGGGGTTTGTTCTCTGTTTATATACCTGTGACCTGCCCTGCCAGTGTTGGTGGGCAATGAAACGTTGGCAATGAAAAGAAGCCAAGCTCAGAGAATTCTCACCAGTCAAGTTTCCTTACATATTCCTTTTCGTATCTTTGCAGAATCTCTCCACTTCGCCTCTGGCGGAGCCACCCCATTTTGTGGCCCACATCCGAGCTACTCTGCTCTATCTCAGAGAACATCCGTTCCCCGATAAGACTCTCTTCCCCACACAGAAACCTCGCCTCTACAAAAAAAATGCGGAGGGCTTGTGGGAGAGAGTCTCTGGCCAGATCTGACCCAAAGCAGAGGAACCAGGAGCGCTCTGGAAGTGAAAATCAAGGAAGGTTGTCAGAGACCTTCCCTGTGACGTGCACATTCACCTTTGTGAGCCCCACAGAGACATCGGGGAAAACCAGTCTGTGGCATTTACGTGGCGGTCTTGCGTGCCCACTCCAAATATCCCGTGTTTTCCAAAACAGCCAGCCAATTCGGTGCAAAATTAGGAAATCTTTACACATTTCATGAGGTTGGGTCCAAAGTTCTCAAGAACATAAAATGGGCCTCTGTAGTATTGCAAAGGAGGTGGAACCTGATTGTGTTACTCCCATCCTTGCTCCCTCAAGTTTTCTGGCTTTCATCATCTCTTCAGGACGTCAAAGTAGCCATTATGCTTCCTTCATCAGAGCTAGGTCCTTGATAAAATATCAGCTGGAGAACCTTCCCATGCTGCAATGAAGCGTTCTGGTCCCTGTTCTAGAGTACAGATGGTCTGATTCAAGGCCTGATCTGCTTCAGTAAGATTGGAATGACCCAACACGAGGACGCTTCAGGTAGGTTAGAACATGACCTTGACACAAGATGTTTCGGTGAAGACCTTCTGACCTCTCTGGAACTCTTCTCAGTAGTGTTGGAGGAGCTTTCAAATGAAGCTAGACCTTGTTGGTGCCACATCAGAAGAAGCTGCTCCAGACTAATAATAGAGATCTGTGTTGAGGCTCCGAGCAATAGCTGAAGAATGTTGACCATGACATTCTTCTTGGACTGAGGACCAAATGTATGCAAGCAAATATGTTGGGTGGGACTTGCCTACATACCTATCCTCTGATAGGGACTTTGGATCTTCATGCAGCTCAATGTGTGTGTGTGTGATTCTCCTCAATTCCTTTTTAAAGTTGATTTTTCTACCATGAATCTCCATAACTGGTCATTGTTCCAGCAAAAAAACCACATGGCTTCAGGTACGACTTTCAAGGCACACGTCTGTATGGACAACGTTCAAGTTTTTGTTCCGGCTTTTTCAGGCTGTACTTTTCTCCACTGTTCAGCTTCCTGTTCTGTCGAAGAGAAACTGAGAGAATCTGGCCTGAATCTCACTGTCGCTGTGTCTTGCAGCACCCAAGGTGGTGGGGTTTTCATTTAACCAGATCCATCAAACCGTTGAATGTAGCCAAAATAACATGACGATTAAAGGCAGTCCCCACTTAAATCTTCTCCATTTGCTTAAAAAAAAACATGTCTTTTATTATACCCATTTCTAAGCAAGGATCTGACCATTTTATCAAATGTGTTGGCTTTTGTTAACTAAACCCAAAAGCTTTTCCAAACACCTCTGCATGTAATGAAACTTTTAAAACTGTTTGATGATTTAATCTGGTTTTCTTTTGAAGTATTTATGTGTCTCTGAAGTAGGTATGTTTTTTCTTCGCTGTTGTTCTACAATTTCTGGACAAGGCTGAACATCCTCTGAGGTATTTGTGAATGTGCCAGACCTAAAGAAGCTAATTATAGGGAAGCAGCCATTGGAACTTCAGAACCTGGTTGTAAGTACCTTTGAGGGGTCCATTGTAATGTTGAATGATCACTAAGTGACTGATTGTTAAGCTGAGGACTACATGTGTGGCACTTTTAAGCTATATTTTTTAGCTGGATTCACCTACAGTGCTTAATTGTAAAGTGATATGGGGTGGTGATGGTGGTGACTAAGTGTAATTAACAATCTTGTTCAGTGAATAAAATACAATTCATTTAAGGGCAATAGAACAATTAAAAACCTAGATTGGTTACTGACTTGCTCTTTCAAGTCTGATTTGGTTATGTAGCAGTAGGAAAACACAACTGGTGTTGTGGTTTTTCTGGCTGGGTTTTTGTGTCCTGCTCAGGGATCTGTAGCCAGAAGGCAAGTACAGTTTTAAAAACAAAGACAAAACGAACCATAAACAGAGAGCAAACCCTGCTCCCTTCTAGCACTGATGATGTTACCTAGTTGGGTCATGAAACGTCTGCAAGAAAACCAAGGTCCGAAAACACCACAATTTAGAAATTATCCAAATTTCTAGACCTTGATTCCATTTGCAGGGCTGTCTTTAACTTGTTCAATTTGAAGATACTTAAAACCACATATGGTTTATATCAGGGGTCTTCAAACTTGGCGTGCCTAGCTGAGGAATTCTGGGAGTTGAAGTCCACAAGTCATAAAAGGGCCAGGTTTGAAGACCCCTGATTTATACGATGTGTGAATCCAACCCCTGCCAGAAATAGCAACCTTCTGGATTAAATAATTACAATTTTCTGATGTGTATATTCCCTACTTTTCTAGGATTTTGCTAATTGGTTCTTTTAACCATCACAAACTCAAGATACAACAAGTTGAAGAACTTTTATTGAAGCATTTAGGAAGTATCTAAATTAGGACTGTATTCTAGCAAAACTGCCAGCTTGATATAAAACCTTTAAAATTTATATTAACAATTATAACTTTAACCTTTTCCCCCTCCATGAACCCAAGTTAATATAAATCATTGCACTAAATAAACAGTCAAAAGGAAGACAATTCAATTTACACTTTGGAAAAAAATCAACCCTTAATAGTTCGGAGTTAACTGTACATTTAACCAGCAATAATCCTCAATTAAGAAAGAACAAGCTGTTGTTAACCTTGAACAAACATTTTGGTCATTAAAAGCCCACTGTTGCAGTACTCATGGAAGAGCTTCAATCAGTTCTAGCTGAGCTTGAAGAAACAGGTTACCTAAAGTAAACTAGATATGTTGATCATTACCTCTCAACTTCCATAAATAATAATAAGCAAAGCTTGAACCCTTAATGCCCACTTGAGTGCAAAGGATAACAGATCCTCAAGTAAATTATTAAAAGAGAGGAGAATATTCTAGCATTCGCTGTAAGATCTAGTTTGGTGAGATCTCCATAACTTATGTGAATCATGTCTGGATACTTGGGTTTTAAAGCAGAAAAATCTCCCAATTCCAAATTAGCAATTTCTACTATTACGACTACGTGGGTCTGTTTTTGGACTTTTTTGGGGGGGGGGTTTGAGGGAATGGCAATTTTTCTGCTTAGGATGACTTACAGTCTCAGCATTGGACTATATTACCACCAACAACGAAATAATTTTGAGAATAACCACTCCTTAATTCATTATATGTGTTAGAACGGGATTGACTTCTTCAACTGCTGAGAATAAAATTGTCCCTTAGCTTACACTAGCTTTATTAATTAAATCGAAATGGAACTCTATTAAATGCCACACTGTTCCCCAACTGTTACTGTCTCATTCAGGATGTTGAAATTCATTTCCCCAAATTCTTGGGTTTCTGGATGGAAACAAGTCCAGTGAACCCAAATAGCAGCCGATTTGGGGAAAACTGCACTATAGAGAAATGTTGCTCCAAAAAAATATTTTTGTCTGTGTGAAACATCTATTTTAAATCAGAACAAGGGGTGAGCAGGGGAAGAGAGATCAAGTTCAGCCAATTCTCTTAGGGAATGAAGTTGCTGTGTTTAACAGAGAAAGAGCTAAATCTGTCTCAGAAAATAGAAGGCGTCATTAATCACCTGGGTGAGGAATCAAGGCTTGAATATCTACTCTCAACTTTCAAAACCAAATCAGCTTAGTATGTGTATTTCTTTTCCATAGTGCAGTACTGTATGATAAGCTAATTTCTCTGAATATTTACAATATTTAACAAACGCAACCAACCAATGAGAAAAGCTAAAACAGCAAGGGGGGGGGAAACCCTCACCAATATGCCACCATCTGGAGGTAATGCCATCTCCTCAAAAAGGCAGCGTGGAGCAATAAGGATGGATGTCCCTTCAACGCAAACCTTTCAAACTGGATTTTGGCCTGTGTGATTTTTTTCCTACATTTTTAAACTGCCAGTTAAGTTTGGCTCGGGCAAGCAACATCTAAAGCTAGGACCCTGTGAAATGGATAAATCTTATTCTCCCCCTCTCTCCCTCTCTCTGTCCAACAGGGCTGGAAAAGGAGTGGACGGATGGTGAATTGAGGCAAAAGATTTGGGGAATCCGAAAGCCACTTATATCCCCCAAAGTAGCGCCACGTTAACGGTAAAGACGGCGAGGCTTTGAAAAATATTTTAAACACTTGTTGAATAAAAATAGCCAGCGGCTGGTGGGGGCTCAGCAAATTAGTTTAATCCCAGCACAGAATGCAATCCTATTTAGAAAACCCAGAAAAAGTCTGTGGAAAGCACCTTTTTAATTAATTTTTTTTTAAAAAAATCAGGCATTTTGGGGGACGCCTCTTTGGCTCCTCATTCTTGCATGTTCCTGGTAAAGAAGGAAAACGTCCCTCAGCCACCCAGATCCAACCTTGGCACTAAACGGGCGTGCAGGACAGAATGAGAAGAATCGGAACCAAGCAGACGAGTAAAGAGAGAGAGAGAGAGAGAGAAAAAGCAGCCTTCCACTAATTTTTGTGCAAAATCTCCAGCCAATCACACATGAATAGCAATATCGTACTGACTACCGCTGGCAGAGTTCACATTTTAAACGCATCGTTCAGTTTTCTGCAGCGAAGTGCACTTCCCCCCCCCCGCCTCCCCTGCACAAAGTCTTAATGCGCAGATTCTTGATTTTTATCTAAGACTCTCTTTCTCCTCGGATGGCGAGGGGTCAGTTCCCGAGGCCTGAGCCTTGGTGCCTGGGGAAGCGCTGGAGGCTTCCTGGGTGCAAGGCATCATGCCTTCGCTCGACGGCTCCGCATTCTCCGGCTTGACGGGAGAAGCTGCGAATTCTCCTCTGTCTAAATCGGCAGCTTGGTTCAGGGAACTGGTCTCGCTGACCCCATCCGAGTTCCTCCCGGCCCGTCTAAACAGTTTTTGACCTGCAAGGGAACACGAGGAATGAAGAAGGTTTGCTTCTGTTAGCCTTGTCTGCCTAAGACAGGGGTAGGCAACCTTGGCTCTTTTATGACTCGTGGACTTCAATTCCCAGAATTCCTGAGCCAGCATGGGGGAACTATGGCCCCTTCATAACTTGTGGACTTCAACTCCCAGAATTCCTGAGCCAGCCTGGCCCAACTTGGAAACCTCTCCCTTTCCCCTCAGCGTGGCTGGCTCAGGAATTCTGAGAGTTGAAGTCCACGAGTCCTAAAAGAGCCAAGGTTGCCTACCCCTGGCCTAAGACGTACACCCAGAAGAATAGGTAGTTCTCGGTTTATAGTTCTTTTAAGAGACCGTTCAAAGTTTCAACAGCACTGAAAATTGTGACCGACGACTGTTTTTTTAACAGTTGCCGCCCTTGTAGCATCCTCACGATCATGGGATCGAAATCCAGAGGCTTGGCAACTGGCATGTACTTAGGACAGTTGCAGTGTCTGGGGTCATGGGATCACTTTTTGGTGACCCTCTGTCAAGCAAAGTCAACTTAACAACCGGGTTACTAACTCCTCGACTGCCGTGATTTGATTAACAACTGTGACAAGAAAGGTCGTAAAATGGGGGGAAAAACTCACTTAACAAATGTCTCACTTAACCACAGAAAATTTGGGCTCAATCGTGGTCGTAAGTCCAAGGTTACTTGTACTAGCTCTGTCTTGGTTGTTAAGGTTACCTTAGCGGAATCTTGCAAGTCTAAAAGGACATTTCCTTCCCCCCCCCCTTTATAGTAAAAAAAACTAGGGAGATGTTTGCCACACCTCTTTCCTTCTCTGGGTTCAGCTGCCTCTTATCTGACTGTAGCTCTTCCTCCTGTCACCCAAGGTCATTCACACATTCCCCCTCTTGTTTCACTGGGCTATGAATTTCTTCAGCCTTTACAAACTATGTTAGTTTACTGTTTTTACAGCCTGCTCAATAGTGAGGATTACCAAAGTAGATTTTGAAGAAAAACCATTGTTGATTTTTTTATTATTATTATTATTTTTAGAAGAGTCCATGAAATAGAATTTGGCTCTTGGTGACTACCTGAGCACATTCCTGTAGCATGATTAGGTCCTTTTTTTAAAACAAAAAATAAAATAAAACCGAAGATGAAACCAACTTACCAGGAAACTTCTGTTTAGCACGGCTTGACGTGGGAGTGGGAGGCGGGGTGATCCCCGTGCCCTGGACTTTGGATACGTATGTTGTCTCTGTGGATTCTAAAGAACCTGGCAAAGAAAGGGGTGCAAACACATCAGATCTGGAGAAACGCATCCTTCACGGCTGGCTGAGGAATTCTGAGAATTGGAAGTCCACTCATCTTCAAGTGGCCAAGCTTGGAGGCCCCCTGATCTAGCCAAGCTCCAAACATCCTACTTTTGACAATGGTCAACCCTTACGTCCAAGCAAGGGTGGAAAAATGAAAGGGGAAAAAACCTGGATGTTGGCTAGGAATGTCCTTCAAGCTGGTGAACTGCAAAGCTTCCAGTGTTTCTCTTATCTCAGGATAATTAATCCTGGCTCAAGACCCAGCCAGTCAAATTCCATCTCACCTGCTGTTAGGTTAAAAGTCTGTCCCTTCGCTGAGGCATGAAGTGGGGAAAACCAGTTGAGGACAGAGCCCACCATAGGAATTTGTCGAAGCAAACCCTGGAAGGAACAGGAGAATCAAAAAAAATGAAGGGTTCTTGCCCAGCAAAATATCAAGAAGAGGTATGCCGGCAAGGAGAAGACTTCCCACAATCTGCTCACCTCTTCCAGAAGGCGTTCCTCATTAGCTTTCTGCAACTGAACCTGGGCGTCTTGGATGCCTTTTCGAACCACCTCAGTCATGTTTTCCAAAAGCTGGTCAGAAAGAGAACCAATTGAATATGAGAAATGTCACTTGAGTTTCTAGTATCCAATCTTGGCAACTTTTTGTGGACTTCAACTCTAAGTCCGTTGACAACTGGGACTCAGGAGAAGGAGGAGAAATGGAGGCATATTCTGCCCAGGTGATGTCAGGGTTCAACGTAGCACAACTACAGAGCACTTCCCGTCATCAAGTGGGTATGTCTAGAAAAGAAGGACGGGGGGGGGGGTGACATAAGAGCGTTCCCATATCTCAGGGGCTGCCCCAAAGAAGAGGGAGTCAAGCTATTCTCCAAAGCGCCTGAAGGCAGGACAAGAAGCAACAGATGGAAACTAACCAAAGAGAGAAACAACCTAGAACTAAGGAGGAATTTCCTGATAGTTAGAACAATTAATCAGTGGAACAACCTGCCTCCAGAAGTTGTGGGTGCTCCAACACTTGAGATTTTTAAGAAGAGATTGGACCGCCATTTGTCTGAAATGGTAATAGAGTTTCCTGCTTGAGCAGGGGGTTGGACTAGACGACCTCCAAGGTCCCTTCCAACTCTTATTATTCTTTTATTCTGTTCCTCATTTGTTGTGGCTCCCTAATGTGGCACTCTTCATAGCATACAAATGTGCAACGACACAGTGGATAAAAACGGCTGCACTACAAGCGCTGCAATTAGGAGTAGCGGAGGCTATGGGGGGGGGCAGGATAGATATGACCTATGTTCTTGGAGCTTCCGTACACACCTTCGAATTTTCTTCAATTTCACGGCCACTTGCTGCAATAGTTTCCACCAGCTCAGGGACATCTAGATCCTCGGTGACCATCCCGATATAAATGCAGTTCTTCTCTGCTCCAAATTCTGGCCCTAGAAGGAAGAACAGACTGTCAAGATTTGTACCCTGGCAGTCTCTTTCAAGCTGCTTTAAAATACAAATTGGGCTGAGTGTCTGATCAAAGATAGAAGGAAGGAAGGAAGGAAGGAAGGAAGGAAGGAAGGAAGGAAGGAAGGAAGGAAGGAAGGAAGGAAGGAAGGAAGGAAGGAAGCCGAGGTAGTAAGCGACTGCTTTGCTACAATATTCTTTTTTAAAATGTTATCAAAAGATCACTGGGGTGATTTGGCAAACGAGGTACGGAATTTTTATCTTGAACGTAACATTGAACGCATGGAGAGAACCACGAAAGATTCCTTCTGGGCATTTTTGGGATGGTAACCCTGCTCACAATGCCAGGATCTTTCGAAAAATGAAACAAAGGAAAAAAAAGACCCCTTGATCAATAATTCCAAGAAGAGAGATTAAATACATAAATGCAAATTTTGTCTGTGGTGGGACTACTGGTGGCTGGGCAGGGATTATTTTTTAGATTGTTTTTTTTTTAACCCAGCTTTATTGTTTTTATAAATAACTCAAGGAGAAGAATATGCATACTACTTCTCCCTTCTCTTATTTTCCCCACAATAATTCTGTGAGATGTGATTGGCCCAAAGCACCTGGCAGTCTTTCATGCCTAAAGTGGACTAGGACTCACTGTCTCCTGGTGATTGGCCCAAAGTCATCCAGTTTGCTTTGATGCCTAAGGTGGACTATAATGTAAGGGCCATTCAGTTTCTAAACCAAGCTGACTAATGCAGAATCAGAATAGAGCTGGAAGGGACCTTGGAGATCTTCTAGTCCAGCCCCCTGCTCAAGCAGGAGACCCTATATCATCTTTCTGACATACCCATTTCATAGATAGCCAATTACCTAAAGAAAATAACAGGTCTGATTCCAGTTCGTTGAGCTTCTTCAAAAGGCAGCTGTTTATCTTCTCCGCGTCTTTCTCTGGCATCTCTTCATTTTGGCCCTTATACCTTTCAAAACCAAGTCAAAAGGTTTAGTAAATGCTGATTTACTTCCATTCCTGTTCCATTCCCCCACCCCCAATCCCTATTGATCTGTGGTCAGATTACCAAACTAGGTAACATCATCAGTGCTATGAGGGAGTAGGGCTTGCTGTTATTTTATAGGCTAAGTGGCTTGCCCTGCTTCGGCAGATCACGCATACCTGACCACCCCAAGGCCAGGCCAGCTAAAATCTTCCACATAGGACAAGCCGACGGTTCTCTTCACTTCCTGTTCGAATTCCTCTCTCAGCTGCAAAGTGCAGTTCAGAACCGGGACCTTCATTTTTAAGCAGTCCATCAACTGATCCACGTCTTGAACTTCAGTGCCTAAAACTGAAAAGATTCGACACGTTAGCGGGTCGTCTTCCTTTAGCAGAAGGACACCATCTGCACGTCATCCTGCAACCCAAGCAAATACAGGTAGCCCTCAACTTATAATCATTTAGTGACCACTGGAAGTTGCAACAGCAACTGAAAAATTGACCTATGACCGTTTTTCACACAACCACTGCAGCTCCCCCACGGTTACATGATCCAAATGGCAGATTCTTGCCAACAGACTCATGTTTATGACGGTTACAATGTCCCAGATGTTTGTAAAGAGATTTAAATCATACTAGTGATCCATTTGGTTGAGCTATTGAGTGTGATTGTTTTCCTTTAGCACCATAAGTAAATAGAAGGAGGGAGGGAGGAGAGAGGGAGTGAGGAAGGAAGGAAAGGAAAGGAAGAGGAAAGATGAGGAAGGGAAGGGAAGGAAAGGAAAGGAGGAAAGATGAAGGGAAGGAAAGGAAAAGGAAAGATGAGGAAGAGAAGGGACCGACCTCAGGATGGAAGGCTGTGTCAACCTGGAACCGGTCAGGATCGAACTGCTGGCAGTCAGCAGAATTAGCCTGCAATACTGCCTTCTAACCACTGCGCCACCACGGCTCTAATGACGCTATTTAAGGAAGCACATCATTTGTCACATATATGAAAATTGCCCATTGGATACAAAAGGGAGCCGGTTACCTGCAGAAGTCATTAAAGGGCTGAAACGCACGCAGGTGCCTTCGTCCTCCAGATCCACCAGATCCACCCCACTGGCAGGGACCAACTGAGCCAGTTGCTCTCCAAGCTAAAAAAATAAAAATAAAAGCAAGCAAGCAAGCCCTGGTCAAGGAAAGTAACAAATCTCCCACTCACTGCACATAAATTACAAGCTGTCTTCTGGTCTGTGAACGCTCCAAAATAGGCTTCTATTGTCTGCAAGCTGATTTTTGCATGCTCAAACTTGCTCTGAATTAAAGATGCCTGAAGTGGTGCCATAGCTGCCTACCCCTGCCCTAGAAGAATGCAATCAGAACATGGGCACCAGTAGAGTAGAGTAATAGAATAGAATAGAAATAGAATAGAATAGAACCTTGGAGGTCATCTAGTCCAACCCCCTGCTCAGGCAGGAAACCCTATACCATTTCAGATAAATGGCTGTCCAGTCTCTTCTTAAAAACTTCCAGTGTTGGAGCATTCACAAGTTCTGGAGGCAGGTTGTTCCACTGATTAATTGTTCTAACTGTCAGAAAATTTCTCCTTGGTTGTAGGTGATAATCCACACAAGTCACTTATTTTCAGAGCCACTGTAACTTTGAACTATCACTAAAGGGAACTGTTGTAAGTCAAGGACTACCTGTACTGGATTATTTTTCACCCCTGGAAAAAAATCAGGATTTGAGTCCCAAACTACACACTGTTAAGAAAGAACTCTACCTACCCACTGGTTAAAGGTATCACAAATGTCTCCCTCGTTCCCGGTAACCGATGACAATTGTGCAGCTTGTAGCATCTGATCTGAATTCAAAAGAGAAAGAAGAGAAATGGATTTAGCAGGAAGAAATTAACACATCTTTTGAAATGTTTTTTTTTCCTCAACAGCTAGAGTTTCTCAGAGTTATTTTTATGCACATTAAGATGGCACCATTTAATTCTTTACAGATTTCAATATACAAACACAGCACAGGTGCGCATTAAAATAATATTCCAATAATTTTCTAGGCGATGGGTAGCAGACGAGCTTAATCAATCAGTCAATAAATAAAATAATATGGGATATAAAAAGCATACAGCCCTGTAGATATCTGGCTTATTTTGCTCATGTGAGCAGCGGATGTCATAATATCAAACAGTTCTTTTGTAGAACTTTTTGAAAGCAATTGCATAGGTAACAATTTGAAGATCTATCTTTAATATACGTAAAAATTCAATTATCCTAAATTATCCTTTTATGATCTGTATTTGGCAGGATATTAGAAAACAGGAACCTAAAATTAGCGAAGTACAAAAGCTCTTTTCTCATAAAATGTCTGATTTTCTCACTTGCTGATGCTCAAACAAGCACCAGCATGAATGAGAATAGATTAACGACAAAACTATTGGCACAATTGCTAGTTTTTCAACAAAATAAAGGTCTGTAGATCATGAGAAGGGGGCCTTCCTTCTGCAAATCCTCACCTAAATGTGACTTTTCTGGGGAAAACTTGAACACCACCACAGGAGAGCTAAATTCATCTTCAACCTGGAAAACAAAATTTGGGAAAATAAGGTGAAGTCTTAACACGATATTTAAATCAACTTTCCCCAACTGGACTATATTTTTTTTGGGGGGGGGGGGGGAAGCATAGGTTGAAAATAGAAACGTACTGAGGTTCGAATAAAATCTTGGTTCTTCAGGTTTTCCAGTAGCCGCTGACTCTAAAGAAACAAATGTATAAAATCAGGGAAACTACTCCAAAGGTAAATGGGCACCAGGTTTGTGTACCTTTACATAAAACGTGAAGCGACGCATTCAAGTCGAATGGCGATATTGAGGTACGCTAACATTTCAAACTCAAAATGTTTTTGCATAGTTTTACTATTCTGTTGAGCGCGGTTTCTCAACCGTGGCAACTTGAAAATGGTGTGGACTTCAACCCTGGCGATCAATGGGGTGACAAACCGGAGACATTACTATTAGGAATACTAGAGAAAAATGTAAATAAAGAGGACACATATTTAATTATCCATGTGGTCACAGCAGCAAGGATACTATTTGCTCAAAAGTAGAAAGCAATGGAAGTACCGAGTGGGAAAGCACTAATAAAGAAAATTATGTATTGTGCAGAACTAGATAGGATAACTAAAAAATTAAAAAATCAGGAAGAAACAGAATTTTATCGAATATGGAATAAATTTTATAGAGGAGGGGGAAAAAATGGAGGTCCCAGTAAAGAGATAAACTGAGACAGAGACAAGAAATGTATAGTTGTATATAGGTATATTATATGTAATTAATGTACAATATGGACTGAGATGTCAGTCAAAGATGATTTACCATGTTCAATGTTTTTAATTCTTTCTTTCTTTGTACTTAATAAAAATTAAAAAAAAAAGAAAAGAAAATGGTGTGGACTTCAACTCCCAGAATTCCCAGCCAGGCCGTGGCTAATCACCACAGCCAACTCGCCGTGGCCAACTTGCTGAGGGACAACCGGCCACGGACAACTCACTGCGGGGGGACAAGAGTTACATTAATATCGAAGAAACGGTGGAACAGAATCATTAAAGAAAGGATGCCAAACAGAGGGACAAAATGAAATGTAAATGACAAAAATTAAAATCGTGTTTAAAATTATTTTAAATAATTAAATTGAATTGTTGAATTGTCCCGCAGCAAGTTTATCCTAGGGGTGAGTTGGCCGTGGTGAGTTGTCCCATTCCAGGCTGAGGAATTCTGGGGGCTGAAGTCCACACTGGCTGGCTGGGGAATCCTGGGAGTTGAAGTCCAGACATCTTCAAGTCACCAAGGTTGAGACCTTGCTTTTGACACTCTGTTTTCTCTCCCACTGCTGGCACCCTTGGAAGAGAAGGAAACAAGTCTTTTTGTGCCCATAAATCTGAGGGCCCGAGTCCTGTGAACAAATCAAATCACATTCTGAGGAAGACCCAGAACCCAGACCGATCGGCGCTCCTTACCAGTTGGGAGGCATGCTTAATTCTTTCTACGATCCCATCGTGGCCGAGATACTGCAAGGACAGCCAGAGGGACAGAGCACGCAGTTTCTCTGCTACCTGGCTGGAGGTCAGGCCTGCTGCTAACGACTGCAAGAAACCCAATAAAGAGGTAAACGCCAGATGTATTTTACCCCTCTTGTTTCGTCAATGGAGTTCAGGAGGGTTGGAGTTAGACCATTTGTGGGAACGTCATGACTTCAGGCTGACGCCTCTCTTGACTCCCCCCAGGCTCTGCCTGTCCTTTTCCTACATCCAGCAAATGGCAGCTCATCCATCTCATGTTGTGTTTGGCCATTTGGGCCATTTAGAGCCCCTACCAAGGATCAAGAACAGATTTTATGAAATGGTCTACTCCATGAAATATCTACAGGGCTGAATTTGGCTTGAGTGGGACCGTACATGTTCTCAACACAGACAAGTCCTGAGTTCAAACATCATCATCGGTTTAAAAAAAAATCATGGAGTAGATGTTAGTCTTTCCCAGGGGTAGGCAACCTTGGCTCTTTTATGACCCAGAATTCCTGAGCCAGCATGGCTCAGCTTGGAAACCTCTCCCTTTCCCCTCAGCATGGCTGGCTCAGGAATTCTGGGAGTTGAAGTCCACGAGTCATAAAAGAGCCAAGGTGGCCTACCCCTGGTCTTTCCCAAGGATGATGAGCAACTGGACTCCTTGAGTGGCAATCAACTACAATTTACTGCCACCAGTCATGAGCTGCTGAGAGCTTCAGGGCCCGCCTCCTTCTGCCATTGCATCATGGGCCAACCGCTTACCAAAGAAGGATCCTCCTGTCGGTAAAGAGTCACTGCAGGCACTGCTGGAAGACCCAGCCACGGTCCAAGCGTCAGTGTCATGCTGTCACATTTGGTTGCTGCCTGTAAAAAGGGGGCGGGGTTAGAGGATCAGAAATGCAGTTTTTTTTTTTTTTCCACGCATCTAAAAAACAAGCTAAGGTTATCTCTAAGAAGACATGGCTGAGTCCGGAGAAGAGGCAAAGAACGATCCAAAATAACTCCCTTTCACTTTATTTGAGAGAAAAGATTGATATACTTGGTTCAATCTGAAAAATATTCGCTTTTTGTCCAAACCAAGCATGGACGTTCTCCCTGTTTAAAGCTCGGTTCAACTGTGGAAGGTTTTACAGCATTTAAACAAAAACGATCTTAACTTCTGATTTATGGATAATTTTTGATGACAATAGAGCCAAGTCCTTCATCTCCTTTCTAGAGGGGGAAAAATCCATTCTGAGAATTTAAGAGTAATGAATAAGCAAAACGATTTGGGAGCATTGGAAGAGCTCAAAGTTCAGAAATTGACTCTTTCCAGGTTATTTTTCATCTTAAAAGTAGATGACAGTGGAAGTAAATTAAATCATTTACAAACAGCGCCTTTCTGCTTTTGGGAAGAATATAAAGCAGTGCTTTTGGTTAAAGAGAAACACCAGCAAATATGTCAGAACAAGAACAAATGCACAACATACCAGTATGGAAGATGAGACGTAACCCAAAGCCAGAGTGGCTAGATTCACCCTGAAACAAACAAGCGAGTCCTTTTCAGTAGATTGACCATAACACACATTTTAATTTATAATAAATTTGAAAATAAATAGATAACATAAATAGGATTTATAATAGGGGAGTCAGTTCAGCCTACTGGTAAAGGCACCAGTCTAGAAACAAGGAATTCTAGTTTCTGCCATAGGCATGAAAGCCAGCTGGGTGACTTTGGACCAATCACCAGGTGATTAAGAGTCCTAGTTCTGCTTTTGGCATGAAAGCCAGTTGAGTGACTTTGGACCAATCACCAGGAGACCGAGAGTTCTAGTCCCGCCTTTGTCATGAAAGCCAGCTGGGTGACTTTGGACCAATCCCCAGGAGACCGAGAGTTCTAGTCCCGCCTTTGGCATGAAAGCCAGCTGAGTGATTTTGGCCAATCACCAGGAAACTGACAGTTCTAGTCCCACCTTAGGCATGATGAAAGCCAGCTGGGTAGCCCAATGGGCGAAGAGAGGTTTAGCATTGAGGTCTCTCTCCAAAACTCGGCATTCTAAGTAGGTCTTTTTAAACTATATCTGTGTTCAGCATATAAAGTAGAAGAAGGATCCAGCTGGCTGCAACCTGCCACTATTATAAATTGCTCCCATCAGGAGTGCCTTTCTCCATTCCCTTTTCTGTCCAGCACCGTGTATTATTCTGACAGCTGCAGCGATAACCTCCTCAATCTGCATGAACCAGCCCTGGTCTGCCTACTAGGCGTGCCTGATTGAGCGTGTCATATAAAACGGTTCTAAGAGTGACACCGTACCCTTCAACGTGGAGCCACATGCCGTGTTGCCGGCACAGTTCCCGGAGTCGCCCGAGTTTGTCTGTGTGCCCTGCCCCTGGGGTGCCTGTATGGAAAGGAAATAGCAAAGGGAGAACGGAAAGGATGACAGCGCTGTTGAGGTAGAGCTGAACAACCAGGTGCTCTTCCAAGGTTTTGGATCACAGGCCCCATCACTCCCTCCCTTCCCCAGGGGAGTTGTAAACCAGGGCTTCTAGAAAACCTCCACTGGCTTTTCTCTGGTCTTCTAAATGTCTAGGGAGTTCTCAATCATCCACGGTCGTCTCAAGGGGCTTGTTTGTTCCTTGAACAAGTTTCGCTTCTCAACCAAGAAGCACCGCAGAAAAACCAGCTTGTTTATGTTTGCTCAAATCACCCACCGGCATTGGCCACCAGCAAGATAGGCAGCTTTCCAGATTCAAGGTCTTCCTTGATCAGTCTGTCCAACAAAGCAACATCCTGTCACCAAGCAAAAATAAAAATAAATAAATAACAACAACAACACGAAGAAAGCATACAATTAAGCAACGCCAGTATGACTATTTGGGGTTTTGTTTTTGTTTTTTTATAAAACAAACCTCACCATTTGATGCTGGGAGCCAAACATGGTGTTACACGGCACTCGACACACGCAGGAAAGAGGTAAGCCGAGCTGCAGAAAGAGATACAAAATCCAGACCAGTCCTTGTTTTACGGCCAGTCATTTAGTGACCATTAAAAGTTACTATGGGCCCCACCAAAGATATTGACTACATAATGGTTTTCCTTTGGGCCACAGTCAAAATTATGATTTACGGACAGTTTTGGGGGGTCTCTGGCAGCTGTATTCCAGATGTTGGGACTATTGCAAAGTGGTTTAGTTTAAACCAGCGGTTCTCAACCTATGGGTCGCGACCCCATTTGGGGTCGATCGACCTCTTTTGCGGGGTCGCCAAACGCGGCGATCCGCCATTTTGTCCCCTCCGGGGGCGCGCCGCGCCTCCGGGGGGGTGGTGCTGCGCACGCGCGCTGCGCGTGGGGGCAGCGGCGCGCCCCCACGCGCCGCGCACGGGGTGGCGCCACGCATGCGCACCGTGCACGGGGCCCCCGCCCCCATGCGCGCCGTGCCGCGCATGCGCCTAACGTTTGTGTGACGGGGGTCGCCGTCACACAAACGTTGAGAACCGCTGGTTTAAACTTTCTGCACTGACCATTTCCAACTCTATGGTTGTGGCCTACCATGATTTTAAACTAAAACACTTCACTCATAAGAACATTGCAAGTACAAATGATTAAGAGTCTGCTCTAGTGGTTAAGGCACCAAGCTAGAAAGACTATAAGTTTCAATCCCACCTTAGCCATGGAAGCCAACTGGGTGACTTTGGGCTAATTGCCAGGAGATTGTGAGTTCTAGTCCCGTCTTAGGCGTGAACGCCAACTGGGTGACTTTGGGCCAATCATCAGGAGACTGTAAGTTCTAGTCCCACCTTAGCCATGAAAGCCAACTGGGTGACTTTGGGGCAATCACCAGGAGACTGTAAGTTCTAGTCCCACCTTAGCCATGAAAGCCAACTGGGTGACTTTGGGCCAATCATCAGGAGACTGTGAGTTCTAGTCCCACCTTAGCCATGAAAGCCAGCTGGGTGACTTTGGGGCAATCATCAGGAGACTGTAAGTTCTAGTCCCACCTTAGCCATGAAAGCCAGCTGGGTGACTTTGGGGCAATCACCAGGAGACTGTGAGTTCTAGTCCCGTCTTAGCCATGAAAGCCAACTGGGTGATTTTGGGCTAATTGCCCGGAGATTGTGAGTTCCAGTCCCATTTTAGGCTTGAAAGCCAGCTGGATGACTTTGGGCCAATTGCTAGGGGCTATGAATTCTAGTCCCGCCTTAGCCATGAAAGTCAACTGGGTAGCTTTCAACCACTCAGTAGGAGACTGTGAGTCCTAATTCCGCTTTAGTCATGAAAGCAGTTTGGTGACCTTGGACCAGGTTGTTGTTGTGGGGAAGATAAGAGGAAAGAGGAGTATTATGGGATATAAACCAATCGATCAAATTAACAGAGGTTTACTGAATAAGACGAGGGCGAAGGAGGAGGAAACAATGATTGGCATGCCAAAAAATTTGCACCTCTTTCAACTTACCTGACTACAGAGGAATTGGCCCAAGCCAGTTCTTGCGGCAGCACTGATGTACACCACCGGCTGCTTGTTATATAAGGCAATAAACCCTTCAGTGGCATAATCGTCATAGCGGGAGTGAATCCCCAGCTTGCAGACTTTTAAAAGCCCTTCGCGATCGTCTTCATGGTAATAGGCTGACCCATTTTCAAATCTGTTAAGAGCAATGATGAATTAAACATGAGCATCCTGGAAAAGGGGGCCCAGCTCACTTGCTTCCCATTAAAGGGAAGCAATTATTCACAGCGTTCTCTTCAGTTTGTCATTTTCACGGCTGAAAGACCCAGGAAAAAACGGTCTGTAAAAAGGGCAGAACGAGAGGCAACCAGAGCTGATCTCCAACTGAACCGCACTGTTTATTCACCGACAATCAGCGGTGCCGTGGCTCAGTGGCTTAGATCACACTGCAGATGGTCTCGGCTCCGGCAATTCGAGTCCTAGCGCTGTGTGGCAGGATGAGCTCCCGTCATTTGCCTCAGCTTCTCTCCACCTAACACAGGTGTCTTCAAACTTGGCCCTTTTATGACTTGTGGACTTCAACTCCCAGAATTCCTCAGCCAGGCACGCGTGCCTGGCTGAGGAATTCTGGGAGTTGAAGTCCGCAAGTCATAAAAGGGCCAAGTTTGAAGACCCCGACCTAACAGTTTGAAAACTGTTCTATGCAAGTAGATAGATAGGTACCACTTTGGTGGGGAGGCGAGCTGATGCTCTGTGCAGGCAGTCAGATTCCTGCCGACTCTGAACCTTCCTGATGCGGTGCCCGTTTTTGAGGCAGCTCTGGGAAGGGAGGGGGCCTTGGGTGCCACATAATCTTTCTCTCTGGTGTGAAGCCAGCTCAACCTCCTGTGGTGCATCTTGGGAAGCGCACATGCATGCCTTATAACAGGGCTGGTACCTTGGGAAGTCAAATTGCTACTCTGCAACAGCATTGTGATCTCCTGGCTACTGTAACACCACCATAGGCCAGTGATGGCAAACCTTTTAGAGGACAAGTGCCCAAAAACGGCGCCTGCCCCATCCGCCCATCCACAAGGCCACCCACCACCTCCACGGCCCATCACAGCCGATCGCCCAGGTGACCCTGCAGCACCATGGCAGCCATGCCTTCCGCCCACGCCCCGCAGCATCATCAGTGTGCGACGGAGCGCGAGGGCGAAGTCTTGTCCCCGCTGCCCAGCTGCCACATCCTTGGCTGCGCTGCTCCGCACGGGCCGCACCTGAGGGCAACTCTCTGGGGGGGGGGGCTGCTGGTGAGGAGGGGGCTGTGGGGGGAAGTGGGTCTAAGGTGACAGCGTGCATGCCCACAGAGAGGGCTCTGGGTGCCCCCTGTGGCATGCGTGCCATGGGTTCGCCACCACTGCCGTAGGCTAATAACAACAATAATACTGACGGTAAAAGCAGCCTTTTGTTTTCCTAATTAGTTTCTGGAGATTTAGATGAAATGCAACTTTCTTTCCTGCGTACTTCTGATAAAAGGGTACACTCCAAAGTATTAGTTAACACGAAGGTTACCTGAAGAGCCTACAAAGCCACAGAGTTGTATCCGAAAGGATCTTGGTAGTAAGTTTTCTCAGTCTGTCCCTGTCCAGGATGGAAATATAAGCCGCCAAGCTGTGTCCTAAGAGAGCCATATGTCCCTGTTCTCCCACATTTTGAAGCCTGCAAACCAGAAGGAAAAAAAAAACTGAGACTACAACACAAATCACACATTTGTAGCTGGAAAAAAAAGCCTTTCTTAATATATAGAAAAATGACCAGGGGGCATTTTACTGAATGTATTATAATTAAGCAGTATTCGTTCTCTGTCTGAAAGAGTGATTAGACAAGCTGGTGATGGCTTAAGACCAAGTTAAAATCCAATCCACTGTATGTTGTAGATTGGATTTTAACTTGCTTTTAAGCCATCATTGGCTTGATGGCTTCTTTCCTCTGAAGGCTCATAGTCAAGTGATCGTCCACTAGGACTCCACTGTCCCTCTCACAGTTACTGTTTTTAAGTCAGGTCTCGCCCAATCTGTATTTGTACTTTTGGTTTTTCCTGCCTAAATGTAAGATTTTGCTTTTCTCCACACTGAAACTCATTTTGTTAGATAGGGCCCATGGTTCAAGTTTGTCAAGATCTTTTTGGATCCTGAGTTTGTCTTCTGGGGTGTTGGCTACTCCTGTCAGTTTGGTGTCATCTGCCAATTTGATGAGTTCCCCTTCAATTCCCTCATCTAAGTCATTTATGAAGATAATTGAAGAGTACTGGGCCTAAAACGGGACCTTGTGGTACCCCACTGCTTACTTCTCTCTTCTAAAGGTTTCTAAGGATCTTTTCTTTTCAAGAGAACATCTGGTGTAGACTTCAGTTCCTCTGCCACCTGACACTTTTAAAGATTTTTTTTAACTTTTTAATATTTTTAAGAAGTTTGGCCAGGTACTTTTTCCATCTTCCTTGAAGCTATTACTATTTTTTTACTAATCTATCTATTTTTCATGAGAAGCAAGAAATCAAACCTGTAGATCAGAAAGCACGGACTTCCATCAATTTGTCATCACTTTAATCTTCTCAAAGATGCTGGAGTCCACCCACTCAAGGCATAAGAATATTTGCAAAACCTGATATCCTTGGATTTTGCTTTAAGTATGCTTTTTTAAATATTCCTTTAAAAAAACATGCTTAAAGCAAAATCCAAGGAAATCATTAGATATATTATGTGTTAGAGAGAATCTTAAAGGGAATGACTTTGGATCCCAGAAAACATGAGCAAAAGTAGTCCTTCTGTCAGAGAAGAGGTAGAGGCGGAGTCAAGCAAGTACTCTGCCTGGAATCATTACGTGTCCACAAGTGCTATAACTCCAACCCCTCTTGAATTCCGTTGACTCTTATCTAGCACCAATTTGGTGCTGACCCTTAATTGACTAGATTCTTGAGTACAGATTGAGCAATAAATCTTAAGCCAGAACTTAAGGTCTGGTCCTGATTCTTTGTGCCTGACATCTTCAGCCCTATCCACAATCTTTTTAAGTTTTTTTATTTATAAAACAGTTAAAACAAAGATGGACATAACATAACATTCCAGTGTATATATTCCTAACAATTTGTTCCTCATCATACATATAATTCTTAATCTCTATATATACATATTTTTCTATACAATACAGTCTCTAATTTGTTTCTCTATATACTAACATACAGTTTTATATATCTCTATCTTAACACTAATTTAAAACCCGAACAGTTCTCCTTGATTCACACTAACAATAGAATTTGTCCCAGATTTCAAAGTAATCTGACTCTGTCTTGTCCTTCATTTCCATTGTGAGCCTATCCATATCAGCACACGATAGGATTTTATATAAAATCTCTTCTTCTGCTGGAATTTCTTTATTCCTCCAGTTTTGTGCATACGCCAATCTAGCAGCTGTGAGAATATGTAGCATCAAGTAAAGTATCCCTTTGTCATATTTCTGCGTAGTTATGCCTAGTAGGGAGAGTTCTGGTTTTAACACTACCTCTATCATTAGTATTTCTTCCAGCCATTTTTTAACCTTGTTCCAAAAGTCACGGGCTTTTGAGCACTCCCACCACATGTGATAATATGTCCCTCTTGCCAATTTACATTTTCAGCACCTGGAAGAAATATTGGGACCTATTTTAGCTAATCTTCAGCCCTATCCACAACCTTGAAAGGTCTCTATTTAACAAAGAGTTACCGATAAGACTGTAGTGATTCTTCTTCTTCATCTCCGTGCATTAGAGTCTGAACAAACTGGAGAATGCTCACCATATCCTGTCCGCTGGAGGAAGGGAGACAAAACACAGATCCATGGTCACGAGGCATGAGATGACTTTAAAGTAGACACGCTTAATGCAGACAGTCCTCGATTTACAATCATTTGTTTAGCAGCCACCGAAAGTTACGACGGCTCTGAGAAAAGTGACTTACAACCAGTTCCCACACTTACAACTGTTGTGTCCCCGTGGTCCCAGGATGAAAATTCAGACACTTGGCAACCAGCATCTCAAAAGTTACAGGATCGCTATTTTAATAAGCAAAGTCAACAGAGAGAGCTGTTTTTTGCTTAATGGCCCCGTGATTCACTTAACAACCAGTGATTTGCTTAACGACTGTGGCAAGTCGAAGTCCACCCATCTTATAGTTGCTAAGAACCCTTTTATGAGGGAGATGGGCGGCTAAGAAGTTTGATATAGAAACAAAATAAAGTTTAAAAAAGACTGAGAAACACCGATTTAGACTGTTGTATTGAGCATGAAATTGGAGTCAGTTGCCTGAATGGCCTCTTCAGGTTTACACAAATCAACGATCCATTTGCCCCGACGTTGGCAACAATCACACATCACCTTTATGACAATTATTGTGGTTATCAGTTACCAACATCACACAATTTGGCAAATGAATTCAGATTATTTTCATTCCCCAGCTCCAATTCGCAAAAATCAAAATAGCCAGATTATTAGCAGGAAAAAACAAACAAACCATATAAACAGAGAGGGGAAAGTCCTAATTCAAGATCGCTTACCTGCCTTGAAGTGGCCCAGGAATATCCTTCCTTTTGTAGTTCTTTTCATTTTCTTCTTCTACTTTCCTAATTTTAATATAAAACAGCAAGAATTGGTGATAGATTGGGCAATATACAGTTATGTTTCCTGCTACAGTTGCTTTGTGTTGTTTTATTCAAAAGAGCCACATTGGATTAGCTGCAGGGCTGCCAGAGTGCTGAATCCGATCCTTTTTAATGAAATGACAGGTTAAAATATATCTCATGCCAGACAACATTTGTCAGCCAGGGATATTTATTTATTTATCCCATTGTGTACTGTCTTAATCAAAGGATGACTCATCTGTCTTATCAAAAGCAAAGCAGATTCCGTTGATTCGTAACGGGAAATGTCATCCTGACCTCTGAATACTGCAACTTTTGTGCTTTTTTTTTTTTTTAACAAAATCAGCTTTGCACAATTTTCGCAGGAAGACGTGAAACCAAAAATATCCTTCCCCCCCCCCTCCCAACAATAGGATAGGCAAGAAAATCTTCAGATGACTAAGAAAATATCTGTAATATGCCATCGGCTGTTTAAAATTTATTTTAGTGTGACTGCTTAGCTGTGGTGACGTAACTTTCCACAAGTAGAAAAACACGATTCCTCTGTTCTTTTCAGTCAACTTTCACATTAAAAAAAAACCCACAGGGTTCTAATGAATGTCTCCTACCTATCATCTCCACCTTTAACTGCACCTTTATAGAGGTATTTAGAGGTGGGAGAGACAGCTGAGCTACCCCTCAATACACTGTAGTGTATTACCAATAAACTCAATAAATAATAACAAACTCTAGTTTATTATGGTCTTTTGGCTTTTAGCCTTGGGTTAAATGAGTCCTGCACAATCAGAAACAGGGTGCAGTTTGGATACATCAGACAAGTATCTGTTGTTAGTTGCGAAGTCATGTCCGACCCATGGCGACCCCATGGACAACATTCCTCCAGGCCTTCCTGTCCTCTGCCATCTTCTGGAGTCCGTTTAAGCTCACACCTCCTGCTTCAGGGACTCCATCCAGCCACCTCCTTCTCTGTCGTCCCCTTCTTCTCTTGCCCTCCATTTTTCCCAGCATCAGGCTCTTCTCCAGTGAGTCCTTCCTTCTCATTAGGTGGCCAAAGTACTTGAGTTTCAACTTCAGGATCTGGCCTTCTAAAGGGCAGTCAGGGTTGATCTCCTCTAGGACTGACCAGTTTGATCGCCTTGCAGTCCAGAGGACTCGCAGGAGTCTTCTCCAGCATCAGAGTTCAAAGGCCTCAATTCTTTGGCGCTCAGCCTTTCTTATGGTCTAAGTATATATTTCCCCAAAACAGGATCTTCAAGCACAATTAGTCATCCTCTTCAGTTCTGCCAAGCCAAGACTATTAAAATACCTGTGATTATCTTCAAGCAGCTTCATGGCCTCGCTGAGATTCTTTCCCATTTCTGCTAAGGTAGGGTCAACCACCTGTTATTTAGAAAGAGAAGATGAAAAAACAAACAAACCAATGTCAATTATGTGGTCAAGTTCTAATTCTTCTCACGTCCCCCAACCTCATAAACCATAGAAAGAAGCTATAATAGCTTCTCTTGAGCCATTTCTGGACTCCTGCCCACATGAGTTGGATATCACAATCCGCGGTAGGCATAGTGCTAGCAATGATAGCAATAGCCCTTAGACTTATATACCTTTTCGTAGTGCTTTACAGCCCTCTCTAAGTGGTTTACAGAGTCAGCCTATGCCCCCTCCCCCAGCAATCTGGGTCCTCATTTTACCAAGTTCAGAAGGATGGAAGGCTGAGTCCACCTTGAGCCAGTCAGGATAGGAAGGAAGGAAGGAAGGAAGGAAGGAAGGAAGGAAGGAAGGAAGGAAGGAAGGAAGGAAGGAAGGAAGGAAGGAAGACAATAGCAATAGCACTGAGACTTAAATACCACTTCACAGTGCTTTCCAGCCCTCTCTAAGTGGTTTACAGAGCCAGCCTGTTGCCCCCAACAATCTGGGTCCTCATTTTACCATCCTCGGAAGGAGGGAAGGCTGAGTCAACTTCAAGCCCATCAGGATCAAACTGCTGGCAATTGGCAGAGTCAGCCTGCAATACTGCATTCTAACCACTGCACCACCACGGCTCATGATGGGAAGTCAGGAAGTTTCTCCTCAGTTCCAGGTTGCTTCTCTCTTTGATCAGCTTCCAGCCATTGTTTCTTGTCCTGCCCTCTGGGGCTTTGAAGAATAACGTGACCCCCCTCTGCCTTGTGGCAGCCCCTCAGATACTGGAACACGGCTATCATGTCTCCCCTGTTTCTTCTTTTCTTTAGACTGGCCAAACCCAAGTCCCGCAGCCGTTCTTCTTCATATGTTTTAGTCTCCAGGCCTTCGATCATCTTAGTTGCTCTTCCCTGAATTTTTTTTCCCAACCCTCAACATTGAGAGGTTGAGTAGAAATCGACTTCAACAAATGGTTATCTCCCGCTTGATTGAAGTCTCCTGCTTGAGCTGGGGGTTGGACTAGAAGACCTCCAAGGTCCCTTCCAACTCTGTTCTTCTGTTATTTGAGCCCCTTCCTATATCTTTTTTCCCCTCCTAGGGGTACCTTGTAATGTTTTTTTTAAATATACTTTGGAGCTGATCCACCTTTAAAATAAGAAAACAAAGGATCAAAGAGCTGGTGGCATCTCACAGCTGCATCAACAGTGCTGGGCTGCAGATGTTACTAGAAACTGTATTCCCAACGGGGAGTCTGTAAGCATTTGTTTTCAATGTTTATCAAGCACAGGGAGAGAGATTCCTGCTGGCGTTTGGTTAAAGTCTCCCAGTTTAACCGAGTCCCTTCTATATAAATTAATGTTAATTTCTTTTCTTGAAAGACCGTTGGGCTAATCATGGTATAATATTCCTGGCGTGCTGCTTCAATAATAAGCTTACTTCATTCTTTCACTTGCTACAGGAGAATATTTTTTAATCTCACTTAATATGACTTGGCAGAGGCAAAGATTTTTAAACAAACCTGTGCTAAATTCTTATTCACCTGATAAAAATGGAGATGTCGTTATTGCAAAAATAAAAAAAAAATTATGTCATGAGTAAGGTTGGGGGGCGAATGCCAAGGGATGACAAATAAACCAAGTACAATTTGTGTTGTTTTGTCAGGATGTGGCAAATAAAGGCCCGGGGGTGGGGTGGGGGGAAATCTGCCTTTTTCTAAGAAACCACTGGCTAATTTGAGAATTCTGTCATTGCTTTTTAATATTTAAAAAGTCATGTTGTTCTCTATTTCCATTTTTGTATGTCAGATTTCCATCAAAAATATTTTGGACAGGTCCATCAAAAGGGAAGTCACAAGTTTACCAGCTCTCACTCTAATTAATCTAATTAATCAAACCCACTAGGAGTGCCAGTTGGGCAAGACAAGTCCCAACTGTCTTGGGCAGGACCACGACATGGATGAAAGTATAGGTCAGGGGTAGGCAACCGTGGCTCTTTTATGACTCGTGGACTTCAACTCCCAGAATTCCTGAGCCAGTTATGCTGGCTCAGGAATTCTGGGAGTTGGAGTCCACGAGTCCTAAAAGAGCCAAGGTTGCCTACCCCTGGTATAGGTAGTCCTTGACTTACAACCACAATTGAGCCTAAGATTTTACGACCTTTCTTGCCACAGTGGTTAAGTGAATCACTGCGTTGTTAAGCGAGCAACACGGTTGTGAAGTGAATCTGGCTTCCCCATTGACTTGGCTTGTCAGAAGGCTGCAAAAGGAGATCGCGTGACCCCGGGACACTGCGACCGTCATAACACGAGTCAGTTGCGAAGAATCTGAATTTTGATCATGTGACCTGGGGACAGAGGCTGCAACAGTTGTGTCAAAAATGGTCATCCATCCCTTTTTTCAGTGCTGTTGTAACTCTGAGCAGTCACTAAACGAACTGTCATTAAGTAGGACTATCTGTACCAGGCACAACACCACACCTGGGCTTTGGATCCTGAGAAAAGCATCCTTGTTCATCAATACTGTGAGCCTTGTGGCTTTCCATCCGTCAAGGAAGCAGAGCCAAAGCATCACAATGTCTATCAAATATTGTGTCGCTTTTTCCACCATCGGCTTCTCACGCACACTGGACCCCTCCAGCAGCAAAGCAAAGTTATGCTCACAACCACACTGACCAAGAAGGGAACCACCAGAGGAAATAAAGAGCCCGTGCTGACATTTCATTGAACCCATCAGAAAGAACTTTGGACTCTATTAAATGTGAACAAACTGGTTTGAAATCCTGATTCCGGAACCGCAAGCAAACACAGGGCATGCTCTTCCTTATTCTGTCAGGAACTTTTATTTTATGGAATAAAAAGACAGTTGTTTTGGCTTTTAATGGTTGTTTCCATGCCTTTTGCATGAAAGACACTAAACTTAACCGAGACTTCAGCTCGGAAAATAATCTCACAATATTAAGTGACATCCAATGAAATACCCGACCGAGCAATTTTCACATGATTTATCAGATCCTCCTAATGTATTCCAGTTCCTTCAGAACTGAGAACTGAGGTCAGACGTCTTCCATTCATTGGACCATGTGCTTCCTATCTTATTCATAGGAGCATGAAAATAGCTCAGAAAGCTTTTGACACAACGAAAAAAAACCCTGAATAAATTGCTCTAGCATTCAAAACATGACATCTCTCAATTGTAGTCATGTGAAAAGGCTAAGAGATGCTTAAGCATTCAACAGTATCAGATCAAATTACAATTCCTCTTCCTTGTGCTAGTTACTTATCATTAAGCTCAGGAGCATTAATGACTTCCCTATCAATAAAGCCATGGTTTTCCCAGTTGCAATGTATGACTGTGAAAGTTGGACCCTAAGAAAGGCTGAGCGCCAAAGAATTGAGGCCTTTGAACTATGGTGCTGGAGAAGACTCCTGCGAGTCCCTTGGACTGCAAGGCGATCCAACCAGTCAGTCCTAGAGATCAACCCTGATCTTTACAAGGCCAGATCCTGAAGTTGAAACTCAAGTACTTTGGCCACCTAATGAGAAGGAAGGATTCCCTGGAGAAGAGCCTAATGCTGGGAAAGATGGAGGGCAAGAGAAGAATGGGACAATAGAGAATGAGGTGGCTGGATGGAGTCCCTGAAGCAGGAGGCGTGAGCTTCAATGGACTCCAAAAGATGGTAGATATCTTTGCGATTAGAGATCTCAGCACCAAAGTCTGAATCTAGAGCTTACATAGGAATCCATTCGCAAAAGATTAACAGAAAACAAAAGTGACTGACTTTTTCTTCCCCTGCTGGAGTTATATCCATTTCAGACAAGACTGCAAGTAACTTTATCAAACAAACGGAGAGATTTATATACAGTTACATACTTGTCCACATTTACCATATAAATGGCATTGGAAACTGAAAACTGCATGCCACAAATTTGCCAGAAGCCTGCTTGTTAGTATAAATTAAAACCAAACACCAACTCTAAACATATGATTTGCATATATCATTTTTTCCCACAATTGGAGCCGTTCAGAGAATTCAGAACTGCAGTTTCAGGACACTTGAAAGGCCCAGAATTAAGGGATCTGGGTCTCCCCACTCCTAGCCCACCACCTTCCCCAGTGCGCCTGTGGACTTTGGGCCAAAGTCAGCCAATGACCTTATGGGATGAGGGGAGACTAGTCTCTGGGTCTCCCCACTCCTAGCCCAGCTCCTTCCCCGCTGAACCACCCTACTGGCTCTCTCTAAACACAGATGCAGTGATGTAAGTAGAAGCACATCATGTAATGAACAGAATCCATTTAATGTATTAATTGAATGAAGTTAGTGGTGTAACAAATAGATGCTTAAATACATATGCACATATACATGCAGCTATGTGCACACACATAAACACATTTGTGTTTGTGCAACATATATAATATATATAAAATTAATGCACATCTATACATTAATGTACACAGATACATATAAATACATAACACATACACGCATGCACACACACACATATATAATATTGAGGCAATACACACACACATATATACACACATATATATATATAAAAAGGCAATACACTCATATATAGATATATATAAAGGCAATACACACATATGTATTAAGGCAATACACATGTACATACACATATATAATATTAAAGCAATATACACACGCAGATATATACATACACACACACATATATTAAGGCAATACACACACACACACACACATATATATAAAGGCAATACACACACATATATTAAGGCAATACACACACACATGTATTAAGGCAATACACATGTCCACATACATATATAATATTAAGGCAACATACACATGCAGATATACATACATACACACACACACACACACATATATATATATATAAGCAAACACACACATATATTATTAAGCCAATATATACACACATATATATAATATTAAGGCAATACACACACACACATATATATTAAGGCAATACACACACACACACACACACACACACACACACAAAATTTTATATGCAAAGACCCCTAGAGTCACAGAAGTGTGATGGGCAGTTCAAAAATGTGATAAACCCGTAATAAATCCGTATATTTTAAATGCACAAACGAACGTATAATTAATGATTAGTGCACACACAACACACACACACACACACACACACACACACACAGTGGGGGATATCACGTCTACCCACACCCATACAGCCTACCTCTACATACCCCTATTATTTATTAATGCACAACTCATCGCTGCTGCATCTGCCGGTGCCCGATCCTCCAGGATGCCCATGTTTTATCCGCGATGCACAGGATCGCACCACAGAGCGGGCATCGCTTCCCTTCGCGAGACGCATCTCTCCCCCCTCCCCCATTTGGGCTCATATTGCGCCCCCCCTCCCTTGATCAGCGCCCCTCCCCCCCCGGGGAATCCCTGGCGGGGCGCCCACCGTCTCCAAGGAGCCCTCCATGGCCGCAGGTGCTCCGGCGGCGGCGGCGCCCGAGGACTCCGGCTCCTCCGCCCGGCTACTTCCGCCTTGGCCGCGGCCTCGGCCGGCTCCACGTCGGCAGCCGCGCTGACGGAGCGGCGAGAGGGCGTGGCTGGGGAGGGGCGGGCAGCCGCTCGCCCACCCAGGCTCCAGACCAGGCCCCAGAGCCGCTTCGGCTTCCGTAGCGCGCCAGATTGACAGGAGGCGCGGCGGGTGTGGGCGGAGCTAGAGCGGGGGACGTACCAAACAAAACACACACACACCCCAAAAAAGGAAAAAAGAATAAGCTCCAAGACGGGGGGGGGGAAATAACGCTAAATTTTCAAACCGCTGAGTGAAAAAAAATCTTGGACAATTGCCACTGGGAGATTTTAATGCTTTGGCAAAATCTCCTCCTCCTCCTCCTCCTTTGGCGAATGGAACGTTCCTCATGAGGGCTTGAGGAAAGAGATGACGTCGTCCCCCGAGGGAGCATGCGCGGTGGAGGATGAGTTTCCAAGCGGGTTTGGTTTGAGTTTTGTGAGAGCTGAGCAGCTGCCTGGGCTGGGCGCGTTCCGTCGCTGCGGGCGATGTGGCCCAGAATGGAGGCTGCTTGGGGTGGGATTTAGGCCTAGTATCTTGCAGTTGGCTTGGACCAGGGGGGGTCTTCAAACTTGGCCCTTTGATGACTTGTGGACTTCAACTCCCAGAATTCCTCAGTCAGAGTGCCTGGCTGAGGAATTCTGGGAGTTGAAGTCCACAAGTCATCAAAGGGCCAAGTTGGAAGACCCCTGACCTGTGGTATCCAGAGACTTTCCGGGGTTCCGATGGACCCAAACCTTGGTTTCCTCCCCCCCCCCCAACCAGGGCAGGAAGCCTGGAGCCCTTCTGGGCTGGGCCCCGGGGGCAATTAATTAATCAGTGGAACAACCTGCCTCCAGAAGCTGTGGATGCTCCCACACTGGAAGTTTTAAAGAAGAAATTGGACAACCATTTGTCTGAAATAGTATAGGGTTTCCTGCCTGAGCAGGGGTTGGACTAGAGGACCTCCAAGGTCCCTTCCAGATCCTATTCCTATTCCTATTCTATTCTATTCTATTCATTATTCTAGTCTATTCCATTCTATTCCATTCCATTCCATTCCATTCTACCTCCGAGGTCCCTCCCAATTCTTTAATTCTGCAATTTTTTTTCCCATTCTGAACTTGACTGTTCTCCAAAAATGCTAAGTGGGTATAACCACGGTTAGCTCTTAAATGGATAATGACTAAGTCCGGGAAGTTGGCACATAAATTCCGTACGAAGGTAACGGCAAACTATTTTCATGTTGTTGCCAGGAAGCTGTACGAATGTGTCTGAAACGATAATGGGGTGTGTGTGTGTGTGTAGGGATAGACTAGAAGACCTCCGAGGTCCCTTCCAACTCTTGCTGTTCTATTCCACTCCCTTCTGGCGACTCCGGGGGCTGCGGGCTGTTTCCAGGCAAGGGAGGCAGCGCCGACGACCCGCCTGCAGGGAGTGGCGTGTGCGCGGCTCGTGGTGACGGGGGCGGCGGGGACGGCTTTTGGGCGCAGGTGCAGGGGGGCAAAAAGCCCCGGGCGAGGATGCAACGCTTGGCGCGCCTGGTGCGCCGCTCGCCCTGGGTCTGCAACGCGCTGCTCTACGGCAGCCTCTTCGCGGCGGGCGACGCCGTCCAGCAGCAGCTCCGCCGCCGGCCGGGCCAGCGCGCCGACTGGGCTCAGACGGGGCGGGTGGCGCTGGTGGCGCTGACCTTCCACGCCAACTTCAATTACCTCTGGCTGCGGGGGCTGGAGCGGCTCCTGCCCGGACGCGCCCCGGCGGCCGTGCTGGCCAAGGTGGGCTGCGACCAGCTGGTGGGCGCCCCCGTAGCCATCCTGGCTTTCTACTCCGGTGAGTTGACTGGGGAGGGGAGGGAAGGGCAGAGCCTAGCCTGCTTGACTCGCTGGCGCCTCCCTGCCTCTGAGCACGTGCAGAGGGCTCTGCCGGGGGGGGGGGAGGAACACCCCTTTCCCCACCACCACACACACACAGAGCCAGGAGCCGCAACAGTCGCTGGGGAGGCGACAGCTGGAGTTGACCCGTCCCCCCAACACACAGACACACACACACACACACACGGAGCCGTAACAGTCGCTGGAGAGGCGGTGGGCGACAGCACAGTCGCTGGGGAGGCAGTGGGCAATAGCTGGAGTTGACCCGTTCCCCCAACACTCTCTCTCTCTCTCTCTCTCTCTCTCTCTCTCTCTCTCTCTCTCTCTCTCACACACACACACACACACACACACACACACACACACACACACACACACGGTGTCGCAACAGCCGCTGGGGAGGTGGTGGGCGATAGCTGGAGTTGACCCGTCCCCCCCCCCACACACACGGAGTCGCAACAGCCGCTGGGGAGGCGGTGGGCGACAGCTGGAGTTCAACGTCTCTCGCGGGCGCCCGGTTGCAAAGCCAAAGAGGGAGATGCCCTTCTTTGGAGGGAGCGCTGTGATTTCTAAGGCCAGCCATCGCGAGCTATGCTGGGTCCGTGCACGACTTAGGGGGGGGGGAGAGAAAGAGGGGGCTGGGAAGGCGATGGGAGTTGTAGTCCGGCAGCCGCAGAGGGTGCTAGAGTTTAGGACAAGCTGGTGCAGGGCATCCTCAACTTACAACATTTCATTTAGTGACCATTCCAAGTTACAACTCCACCATCTTGTGGTCAGGTGAGGAGAAACAGAATGGGGGGGGGGCCTGGAGGAAGAGGATGCTCTCTTAGCCTGGTAGTTTTCTTGCAGATGTCTCATGATCCACCTAGGTAGCATCATCAGTTCTAGCTGCCATTTTCATTTCCTATAAACTGTGACTTTGTGAGAAAATTAAGATAATTGATCTTTGCTCTCCAGGAGTCATACAGAAGCACAATTTTTGCTTTACAAGGCCATCTGTTTTCTTTTCTTTTTCTTTTTGCAAGACCCATATGCAGTTGGAGTAGATGTGTCCACCATTCCGTTTCTAACGTCTCCTTTTCGTTTAAAACCATTTTTGACCAGGCATGAGAATGCTTCAAGGAAAAGAGGATATTTTTGCTGACTGCCGGCAGAAATTCTGGAACACCTATAAGGTAAGCGCTGGCCTGTCTCTCATACACAGAGGTGCCTACCAATACCTCACATGAAGCTTCTAACATTATGAGATATTTTACATCAGGGGTCTTCAAACTTAGCCCCTGCATAACTTGTGGACGGTGGCTGAGGAATTCTGGGAGTTGAAGTCCACAAGTCATAAAAGGGCCAAGTTTGAAAACCCCTGGTTTACATCCATTTTCTGGACAAAATCTGCTTCTCTCTGTTAGTCATTATGCTAAAATAATCTTGTTCACTTTGTTCATATCAGTGAAAAAAACCCAAGTAGTAACTAACACCTTCCAAGTACAGGTAGTCCTCAACTTATGACTGCAATTGAGCCTAGAATTTCTGTTGCTAAGTGAGACAGTTGTTAAGTGAGTTTTGCCCCATTTTACGACGTTTCTTGCCACAGTTGTTAAATGAATCACTGCAGTTGTTAAGTTAGTAACACAGTTGTTAAGTGATCCCGGCTTGCCCAATGACTTTGCTTGTCAGAAGGTCACAAAAAGTGATCACATGACCCCGGGACACTGCGGACGTCATAAATGTGAGTCAGTTGCCAAGCGCCTGAATTTTGATCACTTGATCATGGGGATGCTGCAATGGTCATAAGTGTGAAAAACGGTCATAAGTCCTTTTTTTCAGCGCCGCTGTCATTTTGAACAGTCACTAAATGAACTGTTGTAACTTGAGTACTATTTGTAGCAGATCCATACTTGCCTTTTTTTAGCAGATGGTTTGTCCAAGTACTTTGTTCTAATTCTAGAAATAATATATAGCCGTTAGGATTAGCAGCCATTGACAGGTGCTCTCCTTTTTTCCATGAAATCAGCTTGATTTCTTTTTTCCCAGAGGGCAGTTTGATAGGAGGTGAAATCGGGAGATCAAAACAAACGTTTCTCTTGCAAAACATTGAGGGGAAAAGGCTGCCTTTTGAACAAAGTTTGTTATTGCAGAATCCTGGAAATCTAAAATACATTTTTCATTGGATCAGCAGCTTAGGGAATTGCATTGGCTGAAAAATTAATGCATCTGTAAAGAGCTTTCCAAAAGCCTACAAGGCAGAATAGAAGACAGAATACATTTATTCAAATTAGTCCCCATGTATCAACCATGTTTTTTTTTTAACAAATTGCCTTTGTATGGACTGTATGCGCAGGATAAGAATATTTCCCATTAAAATTACAGGTCTCTTTTTCTCTCCTAGTTCCCTTTTTTCATTTTTAAGTCTGTTTACTTTTTGCCTTCTCCCTCTAATTCTTAATCACTATAAGTTTGCAAATGTTTAAATGGAAAAACGAGGCTGAATTACCTTTATCTAGGTAGCCAGAAACAAAAGCAGAAAACTGAGTGTGTTTGAAAAATAAACTGAATTTCGTGCGAGATTGAAAAAAAATATAGTATGCGCTTTCCTTGTAGGATAAGCTAGCCAGCTGATTGAGACAAATAGATATCAGTTTACACTACTGTAAACTGTGTACTGTTTACACTATTACACCTCTAAGTGTGTTGCGTAATTCTATAGTCTCTGTTAAGTCATGGTCCCCCAACAGCGATCAGAGGTCTCCAAAATCAACATTATCTGCCAGTCCATGTTGAAAAATCATACAGTATTAAAATCTCAACCAGCAATTGTGAGAAATGGTAGGGGCAGCAAGCGTGTCAATTTTTAAATTAAAAGATTATTTTTTAAAATTTTAATTTAGTTGAATAAATATCAATAAATATAACCCATAACAAAGAAAACCTCTTGGGGGGGGGGTTTCTGAGAGGAAAAAAAAATGTTTCAGAAACACTATTATAGATTATGAAATAAACAAGCCCTGTTAAGTGAAAATGGTAGAGTCTTGCTTTAAAAAAAAAAGAGGAGGGGGGGGGAGAAAGTGAATGTTTGCGGACCAGGCTTAATCAGGCACAGATATCCTTTTGTGATTGCGTAACTGCTTTATATCACACTTCATTTAATTGCTCAGATTTCAGGTCTCTTGAAACGCCTAGGAGAAACCCAAGAGAAGAAAAAAAATTTCCTTGTGAAAGAAAGACAGCCATTCAATAATAATAATAATAATAATAATAAAGTTGGAAGGGACCTTGGAGGTCATCTAGTCCAACTCCCTGCTTAGGCAGGAAACCCTATACCATTTCAGACAAATGGCCATTCAGTCTCTTCTTAAAAACTTCCAGAAGGGGGCTTGTCTTGTTTGCTAATCAAAGAACCCTTAATTTCTTGAAAAGTTTGTTTACCAATCTGGCAAAGGGACAAACATATTGGCTGTGCTGTAATTTTGGCTTTTCTTAAAGTGGAGCAATCCAAATCAGAATGTTTTAAGAACACTTAAAAACACAAATTTCACACCCACGTGCATATGCTGGCTTGACACGTGGCATTAAGCCGTGATTTGCAAATTAGGATTTCTTATGTAAAGCCAAATGAGCTGGGTGTGTAAAGCATATTCAATCCTAAGCCGCACTCTGCACACCACAACGGATTGCATTAATCTGAAACACGACATCCTGAGTTATATAGCTGGGAGCAGTGTATGAATATAATCAGTGTTTCCTTCCACATTTTTTTTTTTTGCAATAGTCTTGGCTCATAATATTCAAATAAAATTCATCGCGTCCGCCGTTATTTTAGCTAGCGGCTGCAAATAACCAGCAGACTGGATCCCCCACAATGTGATGGAACCAAACTCAGGAACCAAAGCAATTAATCAAGACTTAGACTGCAGTGTTTATTAGACAACATGTGCTGGTGGAACCTGTTTCAAATGATATTGAGAGATCCATCCTTAACAAAAGAGCTTGGTTGTTTTCTTGCAGACATTTTATCATCCAGCTAGGTAACATCATCAGTGTTAGAAGTGGGGGGGGGGTTGCCCTTGTAGCACTGATGAGGTTATGTATTTGAGTAATGAAACGTCTGCAAGAAAATCAGCAAGCTTAAAGGGCACCAAAAACCCCACTGTTCAACCCTGAGCTTCAAATGTTGTATCAACTCCTTTTTATACATTTCAGAAAAGCAGGAGAGTCTAACACATAAACAATAGATGATGTAAAAGTACATATTCATAAGGCTGTTCAATTATTATTGGTCAGGGGTAGGCAACCTTGGCTCTTTTATGACTCGTAGACTTCAACTCCCAGAATTCCTTAGCCAGCATGGGGGAACTATGGGCCCCTCATGACTCGTGGACTTCAACTCCCAGAATTCCTGAGCCAGCATGGCTCAGCTTGGAAACCTCTCCCTTTCCCTCAGCATGGCTGGCTCAGGAATTCTGGGAGTTGAAGTCCACGAGTCATGAGGGGGCCAAAGTTCCCCCATGCTGGCTCAGGAATTCTGGGAGTTGAAGTCCACGAGTCATGAGGGGGCCAAAGTTGCCTACCCCTGCTATAGGTAATGGAGCTCAGGTTACATCCTGCCCTTGTTTTCTTTCAGAAACCAAAAAGGGAGGAATAAAGTAATAAAACAATAGTACTAGCACTTAGACTTATATACCTCTTCACAGTGCTTTACAGCCTTCTCTAAGTGGTTTACAGAGTCAGCCTCTTGCCCCCAACATTCTGGCCCTCATTTTACCAACCTCGGAAGGATGGAAGGCTGCAGTAAAATAAGGAGTGAAGCATCTCCCTTTAATCAAGAGGAAAGGGCAATTTGGAAGGCCAGATTTCCCCCCCCCCAAAAAAAACCACCCAATTCCCATTGCAAATCTATGGGATTATTCTAATGAAATGGCAAACTTTGGCCTTGTTATATTTATCAGCTTGGTTTAATCGATTCCACCCATCTAAAAACTGATTTTCCCCATAATGTTCAGCTATTAAACCCTACTTTACCGAGCGCAGTAGCTGGGGTTAGGCTACACACTGACCAAATCGAAGCAAATGACACAACAGCATAGCGCGAGATTGAAACATAAGAACTGCGGACAACTCATTCCATACATTAAAATACATTTGCATCCCGTTGGGATTCTTGGATGCCGTGTCTGCGCTTTGAACAGCCTGTACCAAGAGCAAGCTTGCAGGATTGCAACAGGCAGCTAGTTATTTACAAGCTGGGCACAGAAAGATGTCATTTTTCTTCTGAGTGCAGAATGCTTTATTTTTAAAACAACCTGTTTGTAATTTCCCCCCCCCCCGCCATCTTGATTATCTATTTTAAACATAAGCAGGAGGCTTTATGGGAGGTAAATGGATAATTTTTCTCATATTCCCCATTTGCATGACTCTAATCCAAGAACTGTTGTTTTTTGTTTTATTATTCCAGACAGGGTTGATGTACTGGCCTTTTGTACAGGTGAGTGTCGGCCTTACCTGGGATGCAAGAACCTAACGCTGTGTTGAAATCCGCCTTGCGGTTTCCTTATAAGAGTTCCACCCCTTTGTAAAGATGCTTCTGGTTTTCCATTTTGTTCTTAAGGCATTCTCTTGTTAGAAGCTGTAGTAGAGGGTGGGTCTCTATGGGGGGTTGACTTTCTGTTGGACCTTTGGTATTCTCAACCTTGTGAGAATATTTCCTGCCTTCATTTGGGTTAAGAGCAGACAAAAATGAAGGTTTAATGAAAGACAGAGCATTCATCCACATTCTATGGTTAAATTACCACTAAATTACCAAGGATCCCATAGTCTTCCTCCTCCTCCTCCTCCTCTTCCTCCCCTTCTCCTCCTCCCTGTTCTCTTCCTCTGCCATCTCTTCCTCCCCCTCTCCCTCCTCCGCCATCTCTTCCTCCTCCTCCGACTTCCCACCTTCTCCACCTTCTCTTCCTTCTCCTATCCCTCCTTCTGCTCTTTCTCCTCCTGCTTCGCCTTCTCCTCCTCATTGGATAATGAAACGTCTGCAAGAAGCCAACCAAGCTCAGAGAACACCAAGGACGCCACGGTTCTCCTCACTTCCTCCTCCTCTTCTTTCTCCACTCTGTAAACCCCACTCCCTCCTAGCACTGATGAAGTTACCTAGTTGGATAATGAAATGTCTGCAAGACAACAGCCAAGCTCAGAGAGCACCAGGGACCCCTCATTTCAACCCCAAGCTACAGATATTCTCTTCTATCAATGTCTGTAAGTCCTGAGACCTTGCTGGAGTCCTCTTGGCAAAATCTTTCTTCAGTCTTCCTTCCTTTCCTTCCAACAGCTTTCCAACTTCAGCTTGGTTCCGGTGTACCTGAGAACAGCGTTTACTGGTGTCTGTGGCTTCCTCTGGGCCATTTTCCTTTGCTTTTCACAACAAAGTGGTGACGGAACAGCGACGTCCGTTTTCCAGCTGTTCCACGCGGAGAAGATGGAGGCAGGCAAGCCCTCGTCGGGGAAATAAACCGTCAACGGAACCAAGACGATCAAGACTTATCACCAATCTCTCATTGATAACCCTCGCAACATTCCTACGATCACAGGATCAACATTTGGGCCCTTGACAACCAGCACATATTTACCTCAGGGGTAATGCCCCAGGGCCATGTGATCACAATTTCCAACCGACTTCCGACAAGCAAAATCATTGGATTTGCTTAACAGCCTCATGTTTTGCTTAACAACTGCAGCGATTCACCTGACAATCGTAGCATTAAAAAAAAAAGGCCATAGAATCAGGTGCAACTGAGTTAACAGCCAATTCTGGCCCCAGTTACGCTCGTAAGTCAAGGACTACCTGTAGGTATCTTGTAGCTGTAGTTGTTAGTGATTAAGATTTTTATGGGTCATATTTTCTATATATGCTGGAACATATTGGTATTGGAAAAAAACCCATAAAAAGCAGTCTAAATAAAGTGCAAAGATTGATTTGTAAGGACCCCCCCCCTTTACAAATATATTGAAGGCGGGGCGTGTTCTTAAAATTTTCTTTTACTCAACAATACAGTGAGGAGTAAAATATTTCAATCTTGTTAGCTGTACCGTAATTCCCTTATTTTTAACGCTGTAAAAGATGTGGTATGACAGGTTGCATGCTGCGTAATATATTTCCTAGGTAATTTTTAGTCTTATCCAGGTTTTTCCAAACAGTGTGTCTTACTCTGCAAAATCCCTCTTGCTCTTTTTTTTTTTCCAAAATGTTGTTACTAATAGGGGGGGCTGGTAATTTTGTTAATTAAGCAATCTCCTGTAGTTCAGTGCATGCATGTTTAATGATCTCTAGATAATGGAAAAATTGGAGAGCAAACTCTCACGTCCGCTGTTTGAAACTGCTGAAATACTTTCCCGTCTCCTGTGGCAATTTTGTTTTTTTCCCCAGCTACAGAAACCTGAATGCAATCCGTGATTACAGAAAAGGCCGTGTCAAATGGCTTACTTAATCTTTTTAACGGCTTTAATAATGGCTTGTTAATGGTGCCTGTGTGTGCATTCGTAAATATCTCTGTGCCTCACATGTGTGAGGGAAATCAGTGTTCATGCTGTGTTAACTAAATGAGGCAGGGGGCAGATAACACACACCTGAAGCTCTCCCCAAATTATCCTTAAATTAAGGTTCATAAAATGCTTGAGAAGAAGAGAAAGAAGAACAGCACTGCTTTTGCAAAGGAAACTGCATGATCCAGATGCCTGGTGCACTTTGGCACAAGCAGTTTGGAATCTAGCTGCAGAGAAGCAAATAACCTTGCTGGTAAGGCTGTTTACAACTTTTTTTTACAGACAGGGGCAAGGAAAAAGCCACCAGTTCTCTTTCCCACCTTTTAAGTCTTCTTAGTTTCTCATTTGCAGGAAAATAATAGAGTTGGAAGGGAACTTGGAGGTCATCTAGTCCAGCCCCCTGCTCAGGGAGGAAACCCTATACCATTTCAGACAACTGGTTGTCCAGTCTCTTCTTAAAAACTTCCAGTGTTGGAGCATTCACTACTACTAGAGGCAGGTTGTTCCACTGGTTAATTGTTCTAACTGTCAGGAAGCTTCTCCTTAGTTCTAGGTTGCTTCTCTCCTTGATGAGTTTCCATCCGTTGCTTCTTCTCCTGACTTCAGGTGCTTTGGAGAATAGCTTGACTCCCTCTTCTTTGGGGCTGCCCCTGAGATACTGGAAGACTGCTATCATGTCCCCCCTTGTCCTTCTCTTCATTAAACCAGACATACCCAGTTCCAGCAACCGTTCCTTATATGCTTTAGCCTCCAGCCCCCTGATCATCTTTGTTGCTCTTCTCTGTACTCTTTCTAGAGTCTCAACATCTTTTGTGCTTTGTGAGAGAAACTCTCACAAAGGAAGGACTAAGTTAACCCCTTAGCTTTGCAGAACCACGTGCTGTAAAAACCAATATAAAACGAAAATAAAAAAAAAATAAATCGTTCCTTAGCTATATCAACTTGCTAAGGACAGGAGCTGGAGCAGAAAACTGTCCTTTTATACTCCTTGTGATGAATCACACCACCATTTCCGGGATCAAAATTACAGGTCTGGTCTGCGATAGCCCCCACTTGATCAAATTCTTCTCTGCCAGAAGGAGATAACAGGCCTCCACTTTGCTGCAGTTCCCAGCTGCAATTTCAAAATTAATGCCAACCCATCAAAAGTAAACCCAGTCAAGAAAGAGACACCGCAGAAATTCCAGGAATGCAGCTTTCTTATAGCAGGACATCATAATTGTCAGCTCTTCTAGGAAATCAACTCTGCAGGAAGTCTAAAACTACATTTAGTGAAATTGGCTAGAATAACAGAATCTTGTGACTCTAACTGTGCTGTTCCTCCTTTCTTGTTACAGATCAGAGAATCAGGGCGGCTTCTGTTTGAGTCACTGCCAAATGTTAATCTCGTTCTGTCTCATCCTCTTTTTTTTGCCTAGGTAACGTTTTTTGTAAATTTCCATCAAGGTTGTCTTCTCCCTACAATTACAGAATTTTGAAAGATCTGAGTTTCTTTATCTCCTTAAAGCAGGAGTCCCTAAACTCTTCAGCTCATTGATCAATTTCAGATGGGTCACTGGCTCCTAAACATTTACAATATGAAGATAATTTAATAAACACTACCTTGTTGTTGTTAATTGCGAAGTCGTGTCCGACCCGTCGTGACCCCATGGACAATGTTCCTCCAGGTCTTCCTGTCCTCTACCATCTTCTGGAGTCCATTTAAATTCACACCTACTGCTTCAGTGACTCCATCCAGCCATCTCATTCTCTGTCGTCCCCTTCTTCTATTGCCCTCAATCTTTCCCAGCATTAGGCCCTTCTCCAGTGAGTCCTTCCTTCTCATTAGGTGGCCAAAGTATTTGAGTTTCAACTTCAGGATCTGGCCTTCTAAAGAGCAGTCGGGGTTGATCTCTTCTAGGACTGACCGGTTTGAACGCCTTGCAGTCCAAGGGACTCGCAGGAGTCTTCTCCAGCACCATAGTTCAAAGGCCTCAATTCTTTGGCGCTCAGCCTTTCTTATGGTCCAACTTTCACAGCCATACATTGCAACTGGGAAAACCATGGCCTGGACTATACGCACTTTTGTTGGCAGGGTGATGTCTCTGCTTTTTAGAATGCTGTTTAGATTTGCCATAGCTTTCCTCCCCAGGAGCAAGCGTCTTTTAATTTCTTGGCTGCAGTCCCCATCTGAGGTGATCTTTGAGCCCAGAAAAATAAAATCTGTCACTACCTCCATTTCTTCCCCATCTATTTGCCAGGAATTGAGAGGGCCGAATGCCATGAAACACTACCTTAACTAACATTATTGCAAATAATAATCACATCCACTATCCAGATGTTTTTGTGATATCCGGACTCCACTTGAATACCAGTGGCATTGACAAAAATCACCATTGGTCAATTGCAAAAGGCAGCTTGACTTGGAGCAGCTGACATCCTACGATGATACTGTATATGCCGGCGTATAAGGCGACCCGGCGTATAAGACGACCCCCGTCTTTGGTGCCGAGTCGCATGCCTAGAACGTCGTCCTATACGTCGGAAACTACCAGTATTTCCGGCGTATAAGACGACTCGCCGTATAAGACGACCCCTGACTTTGGTGCCGATTTTAACGCTTGCGGAAGTCGCCTTATACGCCGGCATATACGGTACCTTTAAAACCGTCAAAAACAACATCTGCCTATCGCAAGTCCTTGGGAAGGACTTGATAGGTGGACAAAAAGGCCAAATTCAGTCTGAACTCTAAGGATTGGTCATTAGCTGTCCGAGAGTCATTGAGACCATTTGGGGATTTATCTGTATATGAAGAGGAGATGTTCATCTGTTTACAATACAGTCCAAGCAGGTTCCACACCCATTTACTCTCTGATTCACATGACTCTGAGGGCACAGATAAACCTCCAAGTGGCCTCAAGGACTCTGTTAAGAGCTAAGAGCCATGGTGGTGCAGTGGTTAGAATGCAGCATTGCAGGCTGACTCTGCCCACAGCCTGGAGTTCGATCCTGACTGGTTCACGGTTGACTCAGCCTTCCATCCTTCCGAGGTCACTAAAATGAGGATCCCAGATTGTCAGGGCCAATAGGCTGACTCTGTAAATTGTTTAAAGAGGGCTGTAGAGCCCTGTGAAGCGATATATACAGTAAGTCTTAAGTGCTATTGCTAACATCCAGATGACTGTAAAGAATATAAATCCTTCCATTCCATTCTAATCAGTCAGTTAGAACTGAAGAAGTTTCTTGGAATGAGAAGTGAAATGTTTTCAAAGGAAAAAAAAAATCCCTAAGAAAGTCCAGTTGTCTTTTGGAAAAGTATCTTTGGGTCATTGTTTAAGGGCATTTTCATCCCGAGGTGATCTCTAGATTCCTTTAAGATGAGATGAGATGAGATGAAATGAGATAACCTTTATTGTCATTCTTTTACTGTGGGCACAATGGCACATCAAATATGAAGTTTAGTTGCCCACTTTCAAAGTGAAACACATACATACATACATACATTCATAAATACATACATACGTAAAATAAATAATATATGACCACATAGATAGATAGATAGATAGATAGACAGACAGATAGATTAGATAGATAGATTATTGATTTTTTAAAAACTAACCACCTGGTTCTTAGTAAACAGCATATTGTCTGGGTTCACATTTCACAACAATCAACAATAGCCAATTTCTATCATATCGTACTCTTCATAGCAGCTTTCCTTGATTTTCTCTTCTTCCCATATTGTTTTCTTCTGCAAATATTAGCTCACTGGTTCTCAACCTGTGGGTCGGGACCCCATTTGGGGTCGAACGACCATTTCACGGGGGTCGCCAAACAACGCAGTCTGCCATTTTTTTCCCCCTTTTCCTTAGCTGTGCTACTGCCTTTTATTCTATTGGCTTTTGAAAGCCAAAATAGAATAGACTCTCTTGAATAGAGTCTAATTCTATTGGCTTTCAAAAGCCAATAGGAATTGTCCAGGCTGTCTCTGCCTTGCTGAGCCCGCCAAAAGTCCCATTCTGCAAACGGTGCTGCACCAGTTGAGTAGTCCTCGACTTATGACCGGTTGAGTAGTCCTCGACTTACGACCAGTTGGGGATTGTGGCATTAAAAAGGTTGAGAACCACTGCATTAGGATAATACAGTTCTTAGTATTTTAGTAACAAAGAGGTTAACTATGAACATTTTTCTAACGTTTATCCAATTAGCAATAGCATCCATACAAAACTTCTTCTCTAGTTAGTCCTCTTGGTTGCGTTATATTTGTCCCGTTTTCAACATCCTCATTTAGACTTTTCCCCCCCACAAAATTGAAATCATTTTCACCTGTTAACAGATAGGATGTAATGCTTTTAACAGAACACCTTGGCTCACGCTACCTGCCCAAACCATGCCCAATTCAGTTGGCAGAATCACAGTCAACCCCCCTCCCCCCCTTTCACCTGGTCTACGTGTTGTACAACCCAACTGAACATCCACTCTAATAACAGGGTCTGAATATTAATTTACCCTGCTCTCCAGCCCAATCAAAATCAGTCTCTTGGCGGTGTGAAGCGGGGGGGGGGGGAAGCTGGCCAAAAGCAGGCCGGCTTGAACCCACACCCTTCCCAGGATGGAAGCCATGCTCCTCTGAAGATCTACCTCGCTGACCCCCAACAGTTGGATACCATCACATCCAAGAGGTGAGTTCATCCTTTCTCTCTCCCCACCCCTCCCCAAAAGCGAGCAGAGAGCGGCAAAGATGCAGTCAAAGATCTGAGTTGGTCTTCTCTTGCTGCTTTCCCCCCCCCCTTTTTTTTTTACGCCTGCCTGATTTTCAAGGCTGTTTCATGGGCTTCTCGACCCCTCTTCCCTGCGTCCCATTGTTTGCCTGCTTCCCTTCCTTTCCCTTCCCTGTGTTCCCTTGGGAGGGGGAGGGCTTACAGAGCATCTTCCCTCTGAGTCTGCGCACTGCATTCCTGTCCCCTCTCCTCCTAGGGTACCAACACAAGGGAAGGATGCAGTGAGCTCAACCGGGCTTGCCAATCTGGCAGCAGCAGGAATTAAAGGAAAAAACAAACAAACAAACACACACAATACAATACAATAACAGCCCACAACAAGCACTGGAAGACCAGACCGAGCGATCCTTCCTCCTCCTTTCCCACCCTGCATTTCTCCTCCTCCTCCACCTCTTCTTCTCCTCTCTTTTCTCTCCAGCTGGGATGGACTAAGAGGAAGTGGGTCCCAGTCCGGCTGAAGTCTCGAAGAGCAAACGGGGCCCAGGTAGCCTCCAACCACAGCATGGAATTAAAGCAATCCATCTCCAGCGGCTTGGGAGCCGAGAAACCGCCGAGGAGCTATGGGGCGGTGAAAGAGACCGAGTGGAAACCCACCGATGGGTTCGGGAAAAGTAAGTGGAAGGGGCTTGGGTCTCTCTCTCTTTCACTCACACACACATGCACACCCGCCTCGCCCCTCCAAGCAAACCAAAGGGGAAATTTCTGCACGCAGGGAGGGAGGGAAGGAAGGAAGGAAGGAACCCCGGCCAGCTGTTTGCACCAGCACTTTGAAAGGAAAGCGATTGTGACATTCACAACCCGTCGCTCTTTCTCCCTCTGCTCCAGTCTTGTCCTGTTGGTTTCCTAGGAACAAAAGGAAAGGTGGTGGTGGTGGGGGGGGGGGGGGAAGAGGGTGGTTTCTGACTTGCTGGGTGTCCCAGAAATCTTTAATTCAAACATTTGTTCTTGGTGCGGGCTGGACAGTGAAGATATGCCTCTTAGCATCCCTAAGGAGATGGGGGATTAGTCAGAGAAGGTGGATTCCAGCGGTTGGTAACCTTCAGGGTTTGGTCTTTGTTTTCCCATCTCCCCTAGACGCCGAAGACCCCCTTACTTATGGTGGTCTTGTGACCACCAAACCCAAGGCAATCTGGAGAGTGTTTGTCCTCTGTGATCCCAGCAAGGGATTCACTCTCAGCAGCATCGCGATTTATTCTGATAAACAAGGTTGCGAAGAAGCAAGATGGAATGTCCTGAGGGTGTGTTTTTTTTTCCCAAAAGGCAACTGGACTTTCTTGGGGTTTTTTTTTTTTTTGCCCTTGAAAACAATTCACTGCTCATCCAGGATGCTTCTTCCATTCGGTTGATAACCTTGGTCTTTGTTTTCCTATCTCCTCTGTACTTGGAAGATCCCTTGCCGTGGTCTTGTGTGACAAACAAAGCTGAAGGAATGTTCTTCAGAAGAACTGAAATGTTATCAACGAGGGGAAAAAAATACCAAGAAAGTCCAGTTTTTCCCTTTTGGAAAAAAGCTCCTTTGGGACATCCATGATCTGGATGTTTGAGAATCTCTAGAGACACGAGTCAATGACCGTTTTCTTATTAGGAAGGTGGTAGAGGATAGCGGGGGGGGGGGGAAATTCCTATATTTTATAGGATCCTTAACCAATGTTGGAAGCTCAGTTGGTTTAGCCTTGGTTTGTAGTTTGATGGAGGACTGTTTGAGAATTCTAGGGACATAGATGGACTCATAAATCCAAGACAATCTGAGATTAGGGCAGATAAAGTCGTCCAGAAAAATGCACGGTTGAAATTAACGGAAGTCAAGTTTGCCTTGAGGATGTTGTGATGGGTTTTTTTTTTTTTCATTTCAAGACATGCTGAATCAAAACAACCTGGGAATGCAAAAACTGCTCCTTTTCCCTTCTTCCCCAGAATAGAGCTTTAATGTTTTAAACTCCTAAAATGAACGGGAGGGGAATCTAAGAAAGTGTTTGTTTGAGTCAAAAGTTCACTTCTTGGGACAATGAAGATCGGTATGCTATATCCCTTTGCCGTTTTCATGGTTGGAAAAGTTGCCAGTTGTTTTGCCTATCTGAAGATGCTGGGGGAGAAAAAAAAAAATGAGCTACCGAAGTTTTGGGTAGCGTAGATTTTATGAAAGCAGTTTAGCTATGATTTCTTCCTTGGTAACGGTAAGGCATGTCTAGTCTAACCAAGAGAAGGACCAGGGATGACATGATAGCTGTCTTCCAATATTTGAGAGGCTGCCACAAAGAAGAGGGGGATCAACCTATTTTCCAAAGCACCAGAGGGGCCAGTTGGAAATTAATCAACCTAGAACTAAGGAGAAATTTCTTGACAGTTAGAACTATCAAATCAGTGGAACGGCTTGACTTCAGAAGTTGTGGGTGCTCCATCACTGGAAGTTTTAGGAAGAGATTGGACAACCATTTGTCTGGAATGGTACAACAATAGCACTTAGACTTATATACCGCTTCACAGTGCTTTACAACCCTCTCTAAGCAGTTTACAAAGTCAGCATTTCACCGACCTCGGAAGGATGGAAGGCTGAGTTAACCTTGAGCTGGTCAGGATCGAACTCCTGGCAGTCGGCAGAGTTAGTCTGCAATACTGCATTCTAACTACTGCGCCATCACCTTAGTCCCGTGGTGGTGAACCTATGGCACACGTGCCACAGGTGGCACACAGAGCCCTCTCTGTGGGCACATGTGCTGTCACCCCAGTCCTAGACCTTCAGCTGGGTTTTATAAAACCTTTTCATTTTAACCCTCTGAGGCCGTTTGCCAAAAAAAAAAAGATTCAATCAATCAATTTCAATTTCCCGCGGGGAAAAAAAATCTCGCAAAGTTGGAATTGATTAATTGAACTTTTTAGTCCCACCCAGTCTGCCGTTACCATTGCAGCCACGCCCACCCAATGGGCCACGCCCACCCGGCACCCGACGATACATAAGTGGGTTTTGGGTGGCAGTTTGGGTACTCGGTCTCTAAAAGGTTCGCCATCACTGCCTTAGTCCATTATGGGATAGGTAGTTCTCATTTAGCAACCACAATTTTGACCAGCAACTTGGTTGTTAAGTGAAGTGGAGCACCCACAATTTCTGAAGTTAAGCCATTTTGGAGTTTTGAGACACTGAATTAAAAAGGTTGGCCAGATCATTGTTGGCCTCCTGGGATAAAGTAGATAGGGATCACATTACATTTCTTTCTTTCTTTCTTTCCTTCCTTCCTTCCTTCCTCCCTCCCTCCCTCCCTCCCTCCCTCCCTTCCTCCCTCCCTCCCTCCTTCCTTCCTTCCTTCCTTCCTTCCTTCCTTCCTTCCTTCCTTCCTTCCTTCTTTCTTTCTTTCTTTCTTTCTTTCTTTCTTTCTTTCTTTCTTTCTTTCCCTTTTATACATACAGATGATAATGATGTTAGCCTCTTGCCCCACCCATTATCCAGCCGAGGACTATGCTATCTCTTATCTGACTGTTCCCTTGTCAGCATCTCTTGATCTAGTCCCCCAAGGTCTTTCCCCCATACCATTACGTCACTGAGTGTAGCCTATACTAAGAGCAGGATTTATTTTATTTTTTAATGATGATCTCTATCTGGGTCCTTCAGCTCTTCCAACAGGGGGTCCCATCACCACTGTCACGGAGTCCTTCCGCCTTGGTGCTGTTCGTAATTGTCTTTTTTTCTTCTACCTTTCCCAGCACCTAGCCTACCAGTGAAGTTTCATTAGTTAGGGGATGCTGAAAATCCACTCTTTTGCCCCTGCAAGGAGGGAGCAAAACTACATGTCAACTGCCCCACTATGTTAGACAGCAAAAGAAGATGGGACATTGTTTTTTTTTTTTTTTACCAAGAGTATCACTTTACAGAAGATTCCATGTGGTTACCGAAGTAGGAAAGCCAGTTCTGACGATTTTGCGTGAAAACAGCACTGGAAAACTTTCCCTTCCTCCCCCCCCCCCCAGACTTCCCATTGTCCATTGTCCACCAATCACTTGCACCCTCTTTATTTTGGGAGTGATATGTCTGCCTCGGACTTCCCCAGCTGGGCGACCGTGACATGTGGGGTCTGTCTCAGGCTTCCAGCGGGCATCCTTGCATTGCAAAATTTCCCTCCCAAACTTCCCTTACGTTCCCGTGCCTTCTTTGCCCCCCTCCCATTAGAGTTGTCTGGTTGCAAGCCAGGCTGTGTAGCGAGCCCACCGTGACACTATTAAAATTTTTTTAAATGTTCCAAGATCTTTGTGTATTTTGGCAGTGGGAAGATTCCAGAAATGAGTGGGCAAAACTGTAGCTTACTGGTCTCGCCAGCAAAAACCCCCTGGGGATCTGGCATTCTGGCAGAACTTGCGTGCACATGGATTTTTTTTTTTTTTTTAGGGAAGACAATGTGACATCGGCTTCATATTTCACAAGCTTGGATTTTGAGAAATTCTCTAGCTGCTATTGAGATAGGGGGTCGATTTTTGATTTAGGTTTTCTTTTCCCCCTTCTTCTATTTGTCCTCTGTAGCTCCTGGCCGTGCACAGGGTAAAGGTCACAGATTTCTGCACGGAAATCAATTTATTTCTTGTCCTTGAGAGTGAGTATCTGCCCCCTATTTTCCCTCTGTTAAGCACTTTCTCTCAAAAAAGAAAGAAAGAAAAGAAACAGGGATATGGTTAAGATGAAAGAGAAGAGAGAAAAAAAAAATAACCAGGATATGATATAAATTAGAGAGTCAGTTTAGTCTAGTGGTTAAAAACTATTCTATTCTATTCTATTCTATTCTATTCTATTCTATTCTATTCTATTCTATTCTATTCTATTCTACCCTACCCTACCCTACCCTACCCTACCCTACCCTACCCTACCCTACCCTACCCTACCCTACCCTACCCTACTCTATTTCCCCATCCATAATGTCTATTCTATTCTATTCTATTCTATTCTATTCTGTTCTATTCTATTCTATTCTATTCTATTCCATTCTCTATTCTCTATTCTCTTTTATCCTACTCTACTCTACTCTATTCTATTTCCCCATCCATAATGTTCATTTCTATTCTATTCTATATTCTATTCCATTCCATTCTCTATTCTCTATCCTCTTCTCTTCTATCCTAGTCTATTCTATTCTGTTTCCCCATCCATAATGTTCATTCTATTCCATTCCATTCCATTCCATTCTCTATTCTATTCTATTCCAAACACAAGGGATGACTTTGGCCAAGTTGAAACCAGATCTTTGCTTGAGGAGACTCATCTGTGGCCATGCTGTGGTGTAAATTAATGCTATCGCTACTTCACAGGCTTTGCTTGCCGCGCATGGCTGCACAATTCAGCCCAGGAATGAGCCTGCAAAGGCCAGCTGTGACAGAGCATCTGTTTGTTTTTTGTCTTCATCTTACAAATAATGATTAAACTGGGGCTATGGATACTCATGAAGCTCTTTGCAAACCACCCAGTGATATGCCAGTAGATCTCTAAACCGTTCTCTATAGTTCCTAGAGAAACCCCTGGCCTTAATGACTCATTGGACTGGGCCAATGTTTTTTTAAGCTTGACAACTTTAAGAGGATTGGATTTCAACTCCCAGAATTCCCCAGCCAGCGTGCTGGGTGAAGAGTTCTGCCA